ATCTTAGGAGTGAGGAGTCCCAGCCCCACACAAGGACCCCGCCCAGGGTTCCAGCACCAGGAAGATAAGTCCCCATAACTTTTGGCTGCAAAAACCAGTGGGGAGTAAGTCAGTGAAAGAAACTTCTGGAGCCCCAAGCAGTTCCTCTTGAAGAACCCACACAAAGATTCACCTACTTAGACTCAATTCCTCTCGGCTCTGGTACTAGGGTGGTAGCTTGAAGGGCACTAGTGGTGAGCAGGGGGGTGGCTGAGGTGTCTGGTAATAAGGCAAGCTGAAGTCATTGTCCCTTTTCTGGGCACTCCCCCAACAGAGCCAGAAGGCTGGTGCTGTATTTGAGATTCCATCTGCCTGGCTAATGCTATTTGACCAACCTTGGAGATCCCCTGAGACTCTGACACCCCGCCTCCCTCAATTTATGGGCACACCCAAGCTGCTTTTACATATGAATGTCTGGTCTTGGCTCACACTGCACAACTTCCTAAATTCTCTCAAATACGCAATAGCTGGCCTCCGTGAGCCCCTGGCTTGGTACTAGCAGCAGCCAACCTAGATAAACAATTTAGCTTTGGCTGGCAATCTCCAAGCCCAGCACAAGTAGCAGCCATCTCAGATTGCTTTATAGCTCGCACAGGGTGGTCCCAGGCAAAACACAGGTGGGGACTGACCTTGGCCTGCACCTCCTGGAAAACCTCAGAGCCAGCACATCCAGTGGACAGCTACAGACCACGTCGGAGCACCACCATCCTGCCCCTGTACAGCTGATCCTCCACAGAGGGCAGAGATTGGTAGTTAATGGTCACAGCCAATCCTTGCAGCTAACTGGCCTGGGTAAATCCCTCTCATTGATCTGCCAACAGCTACCAAGCCTCAACTACAAGAGGAGGGTGTACTCAGCCCACAAGAAGGGCATATCTCGAGTACCCAGCTAGGTTGATGGGGAGGCTGTGCCACTGAACCCTACACTTCTGGTCACCTACAGGTCACCTACAATATTAGGCTACACTACCAAGACATGGAATCAAAGCAGCTCTACCTAATACATAGAAACAAACACAGGGAGGCAGCCAAAATGAGGAGACAAAGAAACATGGCCCAAATGAAGGAACAGATCAAAACTCCAGAAAAAAACTCATGAAATGGAGACAAGGAATCCGTCAGATGCAGAGTTTAAAACACTTGTTATAAGGATGCTCAAGCATCTTAGTGAGAACCCCTCAGCAGCATAAAAAAGCTCTAGACAGAAATGAAGGACACACTAATTGAAATAAAGAACAATTAACAGGGAAACAACAGTAGAGTGGATGAAGCTGAGAATCAAATCAATGATTTAGAACATAAGGAAGCAAAATACAACCACTTAGAACAACAAGAAGAAAAAAGAATAAAAAACCCCCAAAAAACGAGGAAAGTGTAAGCAGCCTCTGGGACCACTTTAAGAAGTCTAACATTCACATCATAGGGGTGCCAAAAGGAGAAGAGAAAGAGCAAGAAATTGGAAATCTATTTGAAAAAAGTGAAAGAAAACTTCCCTAAGTTGGTGAAGGAAAGAGACATGCAAGTCTAGGAAGCACAGATCATCCCAAACAGGATGGATGCAAAGAGGTCCACTCCAAGACACATCGCAATTAACATGCCAAAGGTTAAAAATAAAGAGAGAATCTTAAAAACAGCAAGAGAAAAGTAGTTAGTTACCTACAGGGGTGTTCTCATATGAGAGTGCTGATTTCTCAAAAGAAACTTTGTAGGCAAGAGGGGACTGGCAAGAAATATTCAAAGTCATGAAAAGCAGGGACCTACTGCCAAGATTACCCAACAAAGCTATCATGTAAAGTGATAAAGAGATTCCTAGACAAGAAAAAACTAAAGGAATTCATCATCATCAAACCATTATTATATGAAATGTTAAAGGGACTTATTTAAGAAAAAGAAGATCAAAATTATGAACAATAAAATGGCAAAAAATACATATCTATCAATAATTGAATTTAAAAAACAAACTAAGCAAACAAGAAGAACAGAGGCAAAATCATGGATACAGAGAGCATTTTGATAGTTGCCCAATGAGATGGAGGTGTGGGGATTAAGACCTACAAATAGGTAGTTACAGAATAGCCATGGGGATGTAAAGCACAGTATAGAAAATAGAGTAGCCAAAGAACTTACACACCTGACCCATGGCCATGAACAATGGTGTGGGGATAGTCTGAAGGAATGGGGGGTACTGGGCAGAGGGGGGCAAAGGGGAAAAAACAGGACAACTGTAATAGCATAATCAATAAAATATGATTTTAAAAAATTTAATAGGGTAAGATTAAACTCATTCTTTCTTGCACCTGTACCTATTTTCAATTTTCCTGGTTTGAGAAGACTTGGTGCAGTAATTAAGATTCCTTAAATGATCACTTTTCTTAAACTATTTATTGGTGCGAACATACATACAGAAAACTATGTGTATCAAAAGGGTACAATTCAAATCATTTTCACAAACTCAACACACCATGAGACCAGCACCCAGATCTAGAACCAGAACATTATCCTTTTCTCAGAAACCTTCCAGTTTCTACCATCCCGAGGGTAACTGCTAATCCAGCCTCTAAAAGTCATGCAATCTTTCAATGTTGGCATATCTAGGACCATGTTGGCCAGGTGCTCTATATTGTATTATCTGCTCCATTTTATATGGGAGGTAGTATCAACTCTCTGGTCAGTTAGTTATCTTGACTTATATCCCACTCCTGATAAGAAATAAGAGGGCCAATCCCAGCAGTACCTCTTAACCTAAAAATCCATGTCTCCTCTCTTAAGACACAGTAATATAGTCTCTAAAATTGGGCAAACATAATCTGTTTGCAGAGTTGTTGTGAGGATTAAATGAAACCTCACTCTCAAAGCACCCAATACAGTGTAGTGTACCTGGTTTTAGTAGTGTATAGCTGACTGTTATTGATTTTTATTGTGTGCAGTCAGGATGTGAGGGTTTTATGTATATTATTTATAACCCTGGCCAAATAGAATTCTTTGATTTTCTCATCTACTCTCTCAACCTTCTAATTAGCAGTATTCAAAGGCATCATCATTTACCTAAAAATTTAGGTTTCAAATCTAGGCATTTTTCTTGATTCCTATCTTTCCTACATTCCACTCATCTAATTTGCCAGCAGGTTTTGCAAACTCTAAGAAAGAAAAGCCAAGCCACTAGGCTCTCTCAATACTTACTATCATTATCCTATTTTAAGCTGCTACCATCCGTCACTTAGATATCCTCACAAGAATGTAAGCTTGTGAACAGGATCCCTGTGTTATTGATTGCAGCTGTATGCCCAGCACTCCAGTACCCAGAACAGTGCCAACAGTGCCTGGCTCTTAGGCTTTTGCTAAATTATATCTTGAATGAATACACATTGCAATAAACCTTTGAAATGCGTACTACTATTATTTTCATCTTATATTGGGTTGGCCATAATGTTCATTTAATTTTTTCCATGCAATTACTCTAAGAGTGCTTAGTTTTAACTTCATTCAGAACAAATTTGTTAGATTGTATTGTGAAAGCTGTCATATCAATGTGCATTTTTAAAAAATTTACCAAAATTTGTGAATTTTTGTGCAGTAATTTTAATATGGAAGATGGAAGAAAATATGCAACATTTTTGGCATATTATGCAGTATTATTTCAAGGAAGGTAAAAGTGCAACTGAAATGCAAAAGAAGATCTGTGCAGTGTGTGGAGAAGGTGCTGTGACTAACAGAAGATGTCAAAAGTGGTTTGTGAAGTTTCTTGTGAAGTATTGACATTTTGGCCAAATAATTCTTTGCTGTGGAGCTGTCTAATACATTGGAAGATGTTTAGCAGCAGCCCTGGCCTCTACCTTCTAGAAGCCAATAGAGGGAGATAGCTGACATACTCAGAATATCCAAACCAATGAAGTTATTGGTGAAAATGAAAAATGTGTTTTTTACTTTATGGAAACAACTAAATGGACTTTTTGGTCAACCCAATAGATAGGAAAATAGGCTTGCAGTGGTTAAGTAACTTACTTAGAGTTACAACAACTCTATTTGGAAATATCCAAATCAGGACTCAGTTTCAGGGTCGAACTCTAGAGCCTGCTAAATTATCCAGTACGCTGCTCTATTGAACTACACTGGCTTACGCTGAAGCCATTTTTTCTTTCTTTTTTTTTTTTTTAAGAGAAAGATGGAGGAGATGTTAATTTGTTGTTCTGCTTACTTATGCATTCATTGGTTTATTTTCCTATGTGCCTTGATGGGGCAAACCCAGAACGCTGGTGGGTGGGAAAGATGCTGTAACCAACTGATCTATGCAGACCTGAAGTTAATTATTAAGATATTTTTGGCCGATAGTAAAAGAAATTTTAGTTCAAATTCCTCAACCTGAAAACTTTCTGTTGGAATAAGGTTAACATGCCCCTTCACACACAGCCTTGGAGGGACAGGGTGAGTTGGGTTCTCCCAAGTCTTATCTCTTCATTGGCCTCTTCTCCCAACATTTCAGCCATAATTAACTGTCTTCTCGTCCCAGCAAATGCCCCTACCTCTATGGAACCACTGCCCCTCTCCCATTCCCTCTGGAAAACCTTCCCTAACTTCTGAATTCTAAGGGATTATAAAAAGCAGTATTTTATCTCAGCTGGCATCACTCGACTAAAATTACTTCTTTGTTGTTCACTGCTGTGTCCCCAGTGCCTAAGAAGTGCCTGGAATAGGTACTTGATAAATACTTGTTTAATAAAGATAGGAAAGGGCAGGGATTATTTTATCAATTTTCAGGTGGAAAGGCTTTGGCTCCTAGAGATGAGATATTTCGCCCTGGGTCAGGTACACTGACCGGCCCAAGGATCCACAGACAGCCCTTCCTGCCCACGCCCACTCTCCTAGTTCCTCTCCCGCCCACTAGCTCCCACGAGCTCCGCCTACCTCGGCCTACACCATCTCTAAAACTAGTTTGACCCTTGCGCGGCCGCCGTAGTGCGTCGTCTCCGTTGCCGTGGGAAACGACCCTGGACCTGGGAGGAAAGACGTTTCCCGCCGGCGGGAGTTGCGTTTGTGTCGGCTTGGGGAGCTCGGGCTGCAGGGCCCGGCGCCGCAGCATCATGGCAGACCAGTTTTATCTGGAAAATATAGACGAGTTCGTCATGGACCAAAACAAGATCGTGAGGAGCTAGGACTGGGGAACGCGGGCGTCCGACTGGGGTCCTAGGCCCGGCGAGGGCGGCAGGGTCCTTGACCCTTCTGCGTGTGTCTCGTGGGGACTGGCTGAGGGAGATAGGTGCCCACCCCACGTACCCCAAGGCGAACGTGAACTCGCCGTGAGGTCTTCCAGTGCGCACGCAAGTCCTTCTTTGGTTTGGCGTGCTCAGCACTGTGCACAGAGTAGGAGGGAGTGGCAGTGGCTGTTAATATTGCTAAGGCGTCTCTACATAGGGCTAGTGGTTTTCGTTTAAGGCCCCAAACTTACAGCTGGGGAAATTGAAACCGGGATTAAGTGACAAGCTGTTTAACTTCCCCACAGCGAGTTTCCTTTCGCTGGAAATTTGGCGCTGATGCAGGCTTGACCTGCTTCACGGGGGTGGAGTCATGATGAAGTGAGAATGAGTGTGAGTGCACTTGGCAAATGGTGATGATGGCCTACTGTAAGGGATAGGCAGTGTTCCAACCTAGGTTCATCTCTTTTGCTAATGTTTTCTTACATATCACACTGCCTGTGCCTAACCCATGTAGCACTTCCAGTTATTGGAAAATCAACATTTGTAATTGGAAGACTTTGAGAGAAGAGTGACAGGAGGGTTCAAGGAAAGGTTGAAGGAAGATCTAGTCTTGAGGCCAGGAGTTCTCAATCTAACCTCTGATACAGTAATCGTCAGCCTCCTTCATTCCCAGACCCCTGCACCACCTGTGCCTTTAATGTTTGTATGGCTGCAACTTTGAAGTTTTTCTGGGTCATACACTTCAAAGTAAGCTAGCTTATGGGTGAATTTTGGGATAATTTTCAGTGGTGGCCCTCAAAAAGGACAGAACGTGGAGAAAAAAAAAAAGGCCTGAGTAAAACAAGGAGTGTGAGGAAAGTGAGAACTTTTTCTTTGATGCATAGTCAACCTTACTTTTTAGATTCTTTGCATTAATTGGTCTGTGAAACAAACATTTTAGTATTTGTAAAATAGGTATCTCAGTCCTGCCTGCCCAGATAGGTGGTTCTTGGCAAAACTGGGGTGGCATGTATTGTCATTTACAGTGCATAATCATCTAGGACTAGGACTCTTTCGGAGCCCTTAGAACTGAGCTGCACTCTGAAGTGATCTAATAAAATGTTTAAAAAAATTCCTTCTTTTTGCAGGTGACATACAAATGGCTGAGCTATACGCTAGGAGTTCATGTTAACCAGGCCAAACAGTAAGTCCGATTTACAACTAATTTTAATCACATTGGCATTTTTTTGTTTGTTTTTCTTTGTTTATAGATAGCCTCTAGGTCAGAACAATTATTTCCCTGGGAAATTGGAAGAATACTATTTGTACTACTTTTGTCTATTATTTAGGAGATAGGTAAACTTGGTGTAAAAATGTGTAGTAGTACATTTACTGGATTTATTTGTAGTCTTGCCCTCTGTTAACATCACTTTGTTCTTTCAGATTTATCAAATGGGTTAGCCATTCTTATTCACATCTCAGATCTATATGTCTTTTATCTTACATCTTCATTGCAATTTCACACATGCTCAAATGCTCCTTAGGCCCATCTCTGGGTGTTACTGAAATACCTCCATAATGAGGTCAACAGGTGTTTGATGCAAACCGTATAACAGTGTAAGAGAGGGGAGAACCTTTCAAGTGAAACTAAGAAATGTTTAGAATGGTGCAGAGCATTACCTTTCTCGAGTTTTGCCATATCACCTCTTATTGCTGAAAAGGAAAAAAAGCAAGCTTTTGAATTAACTTCGAAATTTCTTGACCTGCACATGTGCAGATGTTGTCTGTATCGTAAAGGGAAGAATTGGTGAACAGGCTGAGGACACATATGTTGAGTTAAATACTCATTTGGTTTATTTTATCCCTGAAGGTGGTCTGATTTTTCCTTATTCCTTGAGTCACAGGAACTTTCTTTAAGTGGTAGGAACATTCCATGAATCTTAGAAATTCCCTGATCCCTGGAGTGGGTTGATTTGGCTTTATTTGAGTTGCTTTTTGACAGTTCTAGGAGTCTGATTTTGACCAGATGTTTATGTCTCCAAAATGTAAACTCTTGGCCCAGGGATGTATTGGGACTGATTTTGATTATCTGAGATTGCTGTTGCTAAAGTCAGCCCTATCCCAAACCAAGAGGTTCAGGTAATTTTGGGAATGGACACCTGTAAGAGTCATTATTTGTTGTGGTTACAGATGTTTAAATATGAAATGAGGTAATTATTACTATATAACCTTGCTGGGGTTTGAAGATGCATATTGGAGAGGAAATAAAGTTGCCTGCAATTTTACTGTAGCTAACCGTATTACCTGTAATTTTTATAGAATTAACACACTGTCTTGCCCCTGCCTGTCTACCAACTTCAACCCACACCGCTGTCCTATCTCTCTTACACTTTAGCCATATTTGTCTCTCTGTTCCTCAAATATGCCAGGCCCATTGTCACCCTAGGACATTTGCACCATTCCTTCTGCCTAGAATGCTGTCCCAGCTGTCATCATTCTTCAGGTTTCAGCTCAAATTTCACACATTACTTCCTGGAACAGCCCTCCCCTAATGCTCTATTTCAGGTATTCCCACTCCTCCCCAACTTGCTGTCATATGTATTTCATATTTAAAAAGAACAAAACCAAAACTTTATTGAGGTAGAATTCACGTACCATCTAATTCACCCACTGAAAATGTATAATTGAGTGGTTTTTAGTACATCCAAAGAGTTGTGCAGCCTTTGCTGCAATTAATTTTAGAACATTTTCATCAACCCCAAAAGGAACCCTGTATCCATTAGCAGTCACTCATCATTTTCCTGCAAGCCTGCTCCCCTTCTCCTAGACCTAGGCAGTTACTAATATATTCTTTGTCTATAGATTTGCTTATTCTGAACATTTCATATAACTGGGATCATGTAATGTATAAACTTGTGTGCTGGTTTCTTGCACTTAGCATGTTTTCATGGTTTGGCCATGTTGTGGCATGTATCATCAGGACAGTAAGTTCTCACTTAATGTCGTCTGAAATGGCTGTTAACATAGTCCATTTGATATAAGAAACAAGAGTTCTTACAGTATGTCATCAATATAATGAAATGACCTGATTTGAGGATCTGCTGTACTTCATTTCTTTTTATGGCTGAATTATTCCATTATATGGTTTTTCTGAGGGCTGCCGTAACAAAGTACTACAAACTTGGTGGTTTAAAATCATGGAAAGGTGGAATGTCTCACAATTCTGGAGGCTGGAAGTCTGAAATTAAGGTGTCAGCTGGGCCGCGCTCTTTGAAACCTGTGGGGAAGAATCCTTTCTTGCCTCTTCTTGGCTTTTGGTTTGCCAGCAATCTTTGGCATTCCTTGGCTTTTAGCTGCATGACCCCAGTCTCTGCCTTTGTTGTCACGTGACATTTGTTGTACCCATGTGTCTGTATCTTCACCTGGCCATTTTGTAAGGATACCAGTTATACTGGATTAGGAGCCCATCCTCTTTCAGTTAACCTCATCTTAACTGATAATATGTGCAAAGATCGCATTTTCAAGGAAGATCACATTCTGAGTGTGACTGGTGGTTAGGAGGTCAACATATCTTTTTGTTGCATATCTTTTTGTTGGGGGGATGCAATTTAACCCAGAATGTATGGATAAATCATATTTTGTTTATCCACTCATCAGCTGATGAACATTTAGGTTGTTTCCACATTTGGGTATTACAAATAATGCCGCTATGAACATCCTTGTGCAGACATGTATTCTCAGTTCTCTTGGGTATGTATCTACAATTGGAATTCCTGGGTCAGATGATAAATGTATATTTAACATTTTGAGGAATTGACAAACTGTTTTCAAAGTGTCTGTGCTACTTTACAATCCCACCAGCAATGTTTGAGGGTTTCAATTTCTCCATATTCTTTTCAACTCTTGATCATCTGCCTTTTTAAAAAAATTTAGCCATCCCAGTGGATATGAAGTAGTATCATCATGGTTTTGATTTGCAGTTCCCTAATGACTAATAACTAATGGTGTTGATCATCTTTTCACATATTTATTAGCCATTTGTATATCTTTGGAGAAATATTCTAATCCTTTACCCATTTTTTTTTTAATTGGGTTATTTGTCTTGTTCATTGTAGAGGTGTGAGAGTTCTTTATGTATTCCAGACACTGGACCCTGATCAGATGTCAGATTTGCAAAAAATTTCTCCCATTCTGTGGGCTGTCTTTGTACTTTGTTGATGGTGTCCTTTGAAATACAAAAGTTTTTATTGTTGAAGAAGTCCAATTTATTCCCCCCCCCCCGTTCCTCGTATTCTTTAATATACTGTCTAGGAAGGCTTTGTCCAACTGAAAGTCAAAATTTGCTTTTGTGTTTTCTTGTAGTTTTAGTTCTTACACCAATAATAATCACTATATTTAAGGCTTCTGCATATTGAGTGCTTGTTAACATGTTAAAAATGCCTCAGTCCTCACAATAAGAATACAATACAGGTTTTAAGTTAGGTGGCTACACAGTGAAAATAACTTACTTCAGCTCCGTGATGTCTCGTGCCTCAGCTGGGAAGCATTAATGGCTGGAGCCCTGTCATCTGTAGACTTCTTTGTTCACGCCTGGCAGTTGATGCTGGGCTGTTGACCAGACATTGCATGAGGTCTATCTCTGTGGCCTGGGCTTCCATCAGAGCACGGTGTGCCTGAGTGGTTGGACTTCTTAAAACAGTAGCTCAGGACTTCAAAAGCTAGTCCTCCAGCACAAGGCAGAAGCTGATTGCCTCAAAAGTCAAACAGTATCATGTCTACTTTATTCTCTTGGTTAAAGTGAACCACTAGCGCTCCCAGATTCAGGGAGGGAGGATGGAGTCCACCTCTCTCTGGGTGGGCATGGAAGAGTTAGTGGGATGGGTGACATTGTTGCAGCCATTTTTGGAAAACACAACACGCCCCAATCATTGTGTCTATAGTGCTTGGCTCCTAATAGGTGCCAATAAATATTTGTCGAATAAAGACTAAGCAGCTGTGGTTGATATTTTCACAAATATTTACCTCACACAATCTGTTTAACGATCCAATGGTGTTATCAACCTCTCTTAACAAATGAAAAAATTGAGACTTGAGTGTCCGGTCAGCTTTTCTTACTTTACCTGTAGTGGATGCATTTATTTATTTAAACATTTGAAATATTTTGATTTTATTTTGTTTTTTAAATTTTTATTGAATTTATTGGGGTGACATTGGTTAATTAAATTATATAGGCTTCAGGTGTACGATTCTATAATACGTCATCTGTACATCTGTCACCATTTAGCCCCCAGTTTCCTTCTCCTACCTCTCCCCACCCCACGTTCCCTCTGGTAATTGGCTTACTCTTGTCTGTGTCTATGAGGTTTTTGTGTGGTGGTTTATGGTTTTTTGTTTTAATCTCCTCCCCTTTTTCACCCAGCCCCCCAACCTCCTGCCCCTCTGGCAGTTGTCAAACCTGTTCTCTGTGTATGTGAGTCTGTTTCTGGTTTGTTTTTTAGTTTATTTTGTTCATTTGATTCCACACATAACTGAAGTCATATGGGACTTGTCTGTCTGTCTCACTGGCTTATTTCTACGTGGAAGCATTTCTTAGTGCCCTGGCGGCACTGTGGTTAGTGACTAAGCATGACTGGTATTGATTTGCTTGGATTCATTGAAGTTTTCTTACTATGATTTACTATAATTTTTATTATATTTTTAGCATTATTTTAGGCTCTGTCATACAACAGCTAACTTGATAGACAAGGTCCTTCCCATCGTTAATTTATACAAGATAATTTCAGGTCGTAAAAATGTTGTGAAGGAATTAAATTGGGTTCGGGAAAGCAGTTAATATGGTAACAAATAACATATACAATGTATTTGTCATGGAGAAAATTATGGATGGAACTTATGGAGAGGGAAAATTAATGAATTAAAATGAGAAGATATAGTTAATCATGTCTGTAGGAAGTGTATCTTATAAAGAGTTCTTATAGGTTGTCTTTTATATTTGAGAATATTTTGCATATTTTGTTGGTAAAATGTTTGATGTAATCAGATAAACATGTCTTAGAGACTCTAAAGGTATGCAGAAATTATTTTTTCAAACAGTTTGTGGAGTTTGACCTCCTGGTTTATATAAATGAACTGGGGATGATTTAAGGAGACAAGTACATAGAGGATGTCTGTGATGACATATGAGTTGTAGATAAATGACTTAGCCAGGAAGCTTGAGAGCATCTTGGGCATGTTACCTGACTGTCATTTCTTCTATTAGCATGGTCCTAACTAGCATAGGTAAACCAAAATGTTCAGGAATTTGTGTTACCTCATCTTTCCTAATGTGATCACTGCATGGAAACACTGAAGAGAACAAGATAGAGCAATCAACAAAAATGCTAAATAGAGCACATTTTGTCCTCCGGGAGCCTATAGCCTAGTAAGGATGGCAGATATATAAACTAAGCAGTTAGAATACAGTGTGGTAAGTGCTAAAATAACAGATACGTGATAGGCTCTGTTACACCTGAGAAGTCAGGGGCGCCCTGCTGGCCTGTGGTTTGAGGGAAGGCTTCACATAGAAGGTGATAATTGAGCTCCTGTGTGGATGAGGAATTAGGTGGATGAGGTCTGAGCAGAGCATTCCAGCCAGGAGGAGGGCATACAAAGGAGCAAGGGGACCTGCAGAATGTTTCATAAGGCCACAAATAGTGTGAGTGAGTGTGAGAGAATCGTGAGCGATACGGAGGATCAGAACAAGAAGGGTCTTACATGTCATTGCTAGGGAGTTGGAGTTGATCCTTAGGGAATGGGGTGCTACTGAAATTTTTTGAATAAAGAATGATACTTCAGACAAGAATATCCACTACCTTTCAACATCATGTAGTGACTAATAGGCACCTCAGACTTAACATGCCCTAAAAGCTAACTACTGATTTCTACCCCCAATACCTACTTCTCCTGTTTTTCCCCATCTCAGTGAATGACTTTATTCTTTGAGTTGGTTAGTTCAGTTGTCCATAACTCCTTTTTCTCTCATACCCCACAATCAGTCCATCAGCAAATACTGTTGTTTCTCCCTTTAAATTCTCCCAAAATTCATCCACTAATTTATACTTCCATTGCGACCACTCAAGTCTGAGCCACCATCATCTCTAGCCTGATGACTGCAGTAGCCTTCTAACTGGTCTCCCTGCTTCCTCACTGACCCGCTGGCAGTATATTTTGCACACAGCAGTCAGACACCCTTCTAAAAGGTGAGGTCATGGTATTTCTGCTCTAGATCTTCTGATGACTTAACTTGCTTCAAGTTCTACTTAGGGCCGCAAAGCCAATGTCTGGCACTTGGCGCTCTCTGCCACCACTATTCTTCCTTATTCTGGTTCAGCGCACTTGCCTCCTTTCTGTTCTTCATACCTGGCCTATATTCTTGCCTCAGGACCTTTGCATTTGCTATTCCCTCTGCCTGGAACATTATTTCCCAAGCCACAGCGGTGGCTTCCTCACTTCCTGCAGGACTCTGCTCATGAGGCCTTCCCTAATCACCTTATAGAAAATAGCAAAACTTCTCAGACACTCTCTATTCTTACTTTCCCCTCCATAGATCTACTACCATTTAACATATATGTACTTACTCATTTGTCTTTCTTTTCTGTAATGTAAGCTCTAAAAGTTTAGGGACTTTGCTTTGTTCATTGTTCTCTCCTTAAGGCATAAAACATAAAGTAGTCACTCAGTAAAACTTTGCTGACTTACTGACTTGATTTGCATTTTTAACACTTTTACAGTGGCAGCCTTGTGGATGACGAAGGGGAGTGGGGTGCAGAATTGACACTTGGAACTTACGTAGTCCAGTCAAGAGGTTTGAAGGGCATGGAGTCAAGAATTACTTGGGAGGGAGAACTGACTATATTTGGCAACTCACTGGATAGGGAGAAGTGAGGGATAATGACTCGCAGATTTCTGGCTTGGGTGGTTTGGGCAGATGTTGTTGTCAAGAGTAAGTGAAGCCAGGGGGATGAATGAAATAGACCGACCATCTGGTTTGTCCAGGACTGTCGGTTTTAGCACCAAAAGTCCATGTCTCAGGAAACCTCTGAAATCCAGGCAAACTGAGATGGTTTGTCACTCTAATATATAAAGTGAAAAGATAGCTAAAGACAGAACCCTACCTGTTACAGAACAGGAGGTAATCAAGTTTGTGCAGGAAATGGAGCAGGGACAGTTAGCCAGGTAGCAGGAGACTCAGTGGGGCACAGGATCATGGAAGCTAAGAGAGCAGATGCTTCAAGGAGAGTGGTCAACAATGTACGTTGAATTTCTGTTCACATTTTTGAGTTTCTAGCTTTCCTTGGCAGAAGTATGACATGTTATAGAGACTCAGTATATATTTCTTGAAATAAAAAATACAAATGATATGTCTCTTGCTGTTTTTTGTTACTCTGTAAGTTACGGAGGGGGACCAACCTCTGATGCTTGCTCCATCATAAAGATAAAAATGAATTTAGGGATGTTACTAAAAGCAACATTATTTCTACATCCAGTGTTTGGCATCCTCAGTTAATGAATACCCTGAATACTGGGCAGTGGGTGTAAGCTGCTGTGTTGTGCAGTTCTAAAACAGCATTGAATCTGAGTGATCATAAAATGAATTTCAAAGCTGGACATTTGTGATCATGAACTTAGTGGTTCTTGATGTTTTGGAACCCTTTTGAGAAACTATTAAAAACCCTGAACTGTTGCTCTGCGGAAAAGCACAGATACATTTTACTTACGATTTTGGGGATGGAGGGTTATAAATGGCCACATAAATCCCATGGTGAAAGAATCACTAATCTATCTAGTACAGCCCTCCCATTTTATACTTCAGGATATTGAGAGGCCTAGAAAAATGAACTTATCCAGGATCACATAGTGACTGAACTTATTCTTGGTTGAGTGTTCTATTCATTTTATGTTACTGTTTTATTGCAGGTTCACTCCTTCTGGGCCTATTACTAGATTTCTTTTATTTCAGTTATGACCTGGGTCATTGTGCCATCTCAGTAAGTTGACCTCAACTTAACTGTCTGTCCATAGACTGAGTAAAAATTATGTAGGAAATTTGATGAACTACCAGATTTAATATACCTATATTTTAAGTCACAAATTAAGAGTTGATGAGGTAACAAACTCTTAATAATGACTTTCTTGTGCCTTTTGTTTGGAACAGGATGCTGTATGATTATGTTGAAAGGAAGCGAAAGGAAAATTCAGGAGCCCAACTGCATGTCACCTACTTAGTGTCTGGCAGCCTTGTTCAGAATGGATACTCTGTAAGTTCTCAGAATCTTATAATAAGCTTAAATATGTTTGAGCTATAAACTCTTAAATAACAACATGGGAGTGGGAGAACACTAGATTTAGTACTATGGAAGTTTTAAAAAGCTATCTTGCCCTGGCTGTTCTGTGGCTCAGTTGGTTGGAGCGTCGTCCTGTAAACCAAAACGTTGTGGGTTTAATTCCTGGTCAGAACACATGCCTATTTTGCAGGTTCAGTCCTGGATCGAGGGGTATACAAGTGGCAGCCAGTCAATGATTCTCTTTTGCATCTCTGTTTCTCTCCCTCTCTCTTTCTCTCCTTTCCCCTCTCTAAAAATCACTAAGCATGTCCTTGGGTGAGGATTTAAAAAAAAAAAAAAGGCTACCTGAAGATGATTATTTGAATTTTTAGACTTAACCTAAAAGTCTTGAGAAGTTTCGGCAATATCTTGGCTGTGATGCAGAGACTGTAGCATTTTTATGCAACTTTCCTACACAGCAAGGCATTAGGAGACTGCTTCTGTTACTACTCTTTTATTCTCTTGAAGATGTATAGGGAAAATGGTTAGTTTCCATCCTGTTCAAATGTCAAGTCACACACTTAGTTGTTCAGAAAGTATAATTTTATTTACTTATTTTTAGCTGAAGTTGATTTTAATTTGAGCATTCATTTTAGTAGGCTTATGTCTGAGTGGCTGAAGGATGGGTTGGGAGGGACCTGAGAATGCAGTGACATGAGTTGATAACATCTTTATTTTCATGCGTCTTTTCCGGTCTGCTATTGGTCACCCCTCAACTCAGATCCCTGCCGATGATCATTTTCATCCTCCTGACCACAGTGCTTTCTCAGGTCTGCTGACTTTCTCTTAGCTACTTTCATGTCCCCCTTAGGGACAAAGGGATCATTCTATTCCCGTGACTTGGGAAGCTCTGCTGCGATAAATCATTCCTTCTGCACCAGACAAATCCTTGGGAACTTTGATAATTCCTCCTCTCTGGCGTCGTCCTGGAAATAAGGCACAAAAATTTTCTCTGTTCTCACTTCCCCAAACCTCTGATTTAAAGGTTCTTTTGCTCCTACCACCACCACCCCTACAGAACTTAGCCCAACAATCAGGGCTCCTCAGAGACCCACCAATATGTGTGTTCCTCTTCCCTTTGACTTTCCCTCAGACTCATACATTCAGAAGCCCGATTTATCAAATCACTGACTGGATTTGTCATGTAACAATAGAGTCCCAAGCATGTGAGATTTAAAACTATAGTGACAATTGAATAATTAATTTACAAGGAGAAACAAAATTCTTAGGGGGCTCAGATCTTTGTATTCTCCAACCAGTTTCTTTCCTTGTTGGTAAACTATTTGACAAGCCAAGTGATAATCAAGATATTTGCAAGTGTAGAATTAGATGTCATTGTATGTCTGAAACCCAAAATTAAGCAGACCTGATTCATTTACTCTCAGAAATAAACCTGGCACTAGAATTCTCTGTTTGTATGGCTCTTGAATGGATATTGCCGAAGTTTGCATCTGAATGTCCTCCTTCCTTTTGTTTCCAGGGTTAGCGAGCTCCCTTCTGTCTCTTTAGTCAAAGCATTCAGTCTAGTCATAGCCAGTTCTTTACCTGGGAGTCATTGTGTTTCTTGAAAACAATGGGCTTCATTCTTTTTTCTTTGTCACTGAGTTTTTGAGAACCTGAAAGAAAAATTTACATGTTGACATATTTGTAAAATTTTGAATGTTCACACATAATTCTGGAGTAGGGTCCAAGATTAAGAATTTATGTTGTAAGATAAAGGTGTAGATTTTTATTCTAAGCCATATGACGGGGGTTCTTAATTGGGGATTTCACATGGTTCTCAGGATTCAGGGGATTCGGGGATAAACTCCAGGAAGTGGATTCAGACTGTATTCTCTAGTGCATTTTTTGGAGATGATTTTTTAAAATGAGGTGTAACTTCTATCAATTAAAAACTTTCATGCTGTGTCTTCCTTATAAAGGCCTTTTTAGATTTAAGAGGGCATTAATATTCTGTCCATCTTTGTTTAAGCAGCAGAATGCTTTCAACAAAATCTTAGTTAGAACCCTAATATAAAAAAACATATTGAGAGTAGGATTGTTGTGGTTGAAGTGATTGTGAGGGTTTTGGAGCTCTGTGCTCACCCTCCTGGCAGCCCCATGGGACAGCCCTGTGAAACCCTGTAGAACGACTGACCAAGTGTGGATGTTTACCCGTGTTTTTTTCTTAAAGAGAGCCCTCCTATGGAAAGTCAGACTATAAAGCATCATTTCAGGTTTTGTGTTTTTAAATTTCTTTTTTAAGTTTTAAGTGTTTCTAGAAAAAAAGAGATAAATTATAGGATTAGAATGGGTTTACTATACTTTTTATTTTTCCAATGATTGTGATTATTGTAAAGAAATGTTGAATGAAAGTAAAAGCCTCCTAATCTCATCCCAGAGAGTCTTCTAAAGAATTATTGGTTTTATTCCCTTTGTTTTTTTTAGACCATTTTATTTTTAAATTATTTTGATTGTTTATACTATTACACTTGTCCCAGTTTCCCCCCCTTGGCTCTCTCCCCTCCGAGTCCCCTTCCCACAGTCAATCCCAGTACCATTGTTCATGTGCATGGGTGATACATACATGTTTTGCCTAATTCCTTCACCTTCTTTGAACCAGTCCCACTCTCTACCTTCCCCTCTTAGAGCTATCAGTCTTCTCTTCCTTCTTTCTGTTCCTCTGATTCTATTTTGCTCCTTAGTTTCCCAGTTATAAGTGAGATCATATGGTATTTGCCTTTCATTGCCTGGCTTATTTCACTTAACATAATAGTCTCCAGTTTCATCCATGGTGTCACAAAAGGTAAGAATTACTTTTTTTTTTTTTTAAATAGCTGAGTAATATTCCATTGTGTAAATAAATGTCCCGTATTTGTCTTATCTACTCACCTCCTGATGGATACTTGGGCTGCTTCCACATCTTGGTGATTGTAAATAATGCTACAATGAACATAGGGGTGCTTATGGACTTTCAGATTAGTGCCTCAGGGTTCTTCAAATAAATTCTCAAAAGTGGAATTGCTGGGTCATAAGGCAGTTACATTTTTAATTTTTTGAGGTATCCCCACATTGCTTTCCACAGTGGCTGCACCAATTTGCATTCCCACCAACAGTTCACTAGGATTCCCTTTTCTGTAATCTTCGCCAGCCCTTGTTGTTTGTCAATTTATTAACGATAGCCATTTTGGAAGGTGTGAGGTGGTATCTTATTATGTTTTAATTTGCGTCTCTCTGATTGCTAGTGATGTTGAGCAGTTTTTCATATGTCCGTGGGCCACCTGTGTGTCCTCTTGGGAGAAGAGTCTATTTAGATCCTTTGCCCATTTTTATATTGGATTTTTTGTCTTTCTGGTGATGAGTCCTATGAGTTCTTTATGTATTTTGGAGATGTATCCTTGTCTGATGTATCACTACCAAATATGTTCTCCTGTATAGTGGGTTCCCTTTTCATTTTGCTGATGGTTTCTTTAGCTATGTTGAAGCTTTTTAATTTGATGTAGTCCCATTTGTTTATTTTTTCCTTTGTTTTCCTTGCCCTAGGAGATATATCAGCAAACATATTGCTACTCAAGATATCTGAAATTTTACTGCCTATGTTTTCCTCTAGAATTTTTTTTAAAGATTTTATTTGTTTATTTTTAGAAAGAGGGGAAGGGAGGGAGAAAGAGAGGGAGAGAAACATCGATGTGTGGTTGCCTCTTGCATGCCCACTACTCAGGGTTTAGACTACAGCCCAGGCATATGACCTGACTGGGAATCTAACCAACGAACCTTTGGTTTGCAATCTTGCACTCAATTCACTAAGCCACACCTAGGGCTCCTCTGGAGTTTTTATGGTATCACAACTTATATTTAAGTCTTTTATCCATTTTGAGTTTATTCTAGTGTATGGTGTAAGTTGGTGGTGTAATTTCATTTTTTTGCAAGTACTAGTCCAGTTCTCCCAACATCTTTTATTGAAGAGACTTTCTTTACTCCATTGTATGCTCATGGCCCCTTTTTCAAATATTAAATGACCATAAAGATGTGGACTTTTTTCTGGGCTCTATTTTGTTCCATTGATCTGTGTGTCTGTTCTTATGCCAGTACCAGAATGTTTTGATTACAGTGGCCTTGTAGTATAGTTTGATATCAGGTATTGTGATCCCTCCAAATTTTTTCTTCTTTCTCAAGATTGCTGAGGCTATTTGGGGTCTTTTTGGTTCCATATATTTTTTAGACTATTTATTCTGGGTCTCTGAAATATGCCATTGGTATTTTAATAGGAATTGCGTTGAATCTATACATTGCTTTGGGTGGTATGGACATTTTAGTGATGTTAATTCTTCCAGTCCATGAACACAGTATACTCTTCCACTTATTTGTATCTTCCTCAATTTCTTTCTTCAGTGGCCTATAGTGTTCCAAATATAGGTCTTTTACCCCCTTGGTTAAATTTACTTCTAGGTATCTCATATTTTTTTTGTTGCCATAGTAAATGGGATTGTTTTCTTAGTTTCTCTTTTTGATAGTTCATTATTGGTGTATAGAAATGCCATTGGCTCTCTCCAGCCGGCACCAAACCATGGGCACCTCTCGGGACAGCTCGCACAAGTGCCAAAAGACTGGGGGCAAGAGGAAACCCTACAAGAAGTAAAAATATGAGCTGGGGCGCCCCGCTGCCAACACTAAGATTGGCCCCTGTCACATACACACAGTTCACATGCAAGGAGGCAGCAAGAAGAACTGAGCCTTGAGATTGGACGTGGACAACTTCTCCTGGGGTTCAGAGTGTTGTACGCACAAAACAAGGATTGCTGATGTTGTCCACAATACACCCAACAACAAACTAGTCTGTACCAAGAGCCAGTGAAGAACTGCGTCGTGCTCATTGACAGCACACCGTACCAACAGTGGTATGGTACGAATCCTACTAGGCACTGCCCCTGCGGCCACAGGTATGGGGCCAAGCTTACTCCTGAAGAGGAAAAGATCTTAAACAAAAAATGATCAAAAAAATTCAGAAGAAATAAGATGAGAAGAAAAAAGAATGCCAAAATCAGCAGTCTTCCAGAGGAGCAGTTCCAGCAGGGCAAACTTCTTGTGAGTGTCCCTTCAAGACCAGGCCAGTGTGGCCGAGCAGATGGCTCTGTGCTGGAGGGCAAGGAGCTGAGGAAAACTAAGGCCCAGAGAGGCAAATAAATCTTCTTCCCTCCTTTCTTTAAAGTTCATGTTAAAAAAAAATCAAAAGGCTCATGTAATAAAGGTGTTTATTCTTGGGTTTAAAAAAAAAAAAAGAAATGCCACCGATTTCTGAGTATTGACTTTATAGCCTGCTACTTTGCCAAATTCATTTATTAGGTCTAATAATTTTCTGGTAGATTCTATAGGGTTTTCTATGTATACTGTCATGTGATCTGCAGATAATGACAGTTTTACTTCCTCTTTTCCAATTTGATGCCTTTTATTTCTTCTTGTCTGAACACCGTGGCTAGGACCTCCAGTACTGTGTTGAATAAGAGGGGCAAAAGGGGGCATCCTTGTCTTGTTCCTGATCTTAGGGGGAAGCTTTTAGTTTTTGCCCATTGAGCATGATGTTGGCTGTAGATTTTTCATATATGGACTTTATTATCCCTCTGTTCCCACTTTGCTGGGAGATTTTATCATAAATGGGTGCTGGATTTTATCAAATGCTTTTTCTGCCTCTGTTGATAGGATCATGTGATATCCTTCATTTTGTTTATGTGATGTATTACATTTAGTGATTTGCAAATATTGTACCAACCTTGTATCCCAGGGACAAATCCCACTTGGTCATGGTGTATGATCCCTTTAATGTGTTGCTGTATCCGGTTTGCTAGTATTCTGTTGAGGATTTTAACATCACTATTCATCAGGGATATTGACTTACAGTTTTCTTTCTTTGTTGTGTCTTTACCTGGTTTTGGAATACTGGCCTTGTAAAAAAAAGAGTTTGGAGGCCTTCCCTCTTGAATTTTTTGGAATATTTTGAAAAGGGTAAGTGTTAGTTCTTCTTTAAATGTTTGGTAAAATTTGCCTGTGAAGCCAACTGGTCCAGGACTTTTGTTTGCTGGGAGTTTTTTTAATTAGTTGTTATCAATTAGTTGTTCGATTTCATTAGTTGTTATCAATTTATTCAGGTGTTCTGCTCTCTTGATACAGTCTTGGGAGATTGTATGATTCTAGACGTTTATCCATTTTACCCAGGTTGTCCAATTTCTTGGCATATAGTTGTTCATAGTACTTTCTTACAATCCTCTGTATTTCTTTGGTATCTGTTGTTATTTCTCCTCTTTCATTTCTGATTTTATTAATTTGGGTCCTCTTTTTCTTGCTGAATCTAGTTAAAGGTCAGTCAATTTTGTTTATCTTTCAAAGAACCAGCTTCTGGATTCGTTGATCTTTTCAATTGGTTTTGTTTTGTTTTGTTGGTTTTATTTTTTTAGTCTCTAAAAAAATATCATTTATATCTAAATAAATATCATTTATTTCCACTCTGATCTTGATTATTTCCTTTCTTCTCTTCCTTTGCTGCTGTTTTTCTAGTTCTTTCAAGTATAGTGTAAGGTCATTTATTTGAGATTTTTCTACTATAGGTAAACTTGTAATGCTGTGAACTTCCTTCTCAGGACTGCTTACACTGTGTCCCATAGGCTTTGCGTTGTGTATTCATTTTCATTTGTTTCCAGGTACTTTTTGATTTCTTCCTTGATCTCATTGATGACCCATTCATTATTTAATAACATGCAGTTTAGTCTCCATGTATTTGAATGATTTTGAGTTTTTTACTGAGGTTGATTTCTAGTTTCATGCTGTTGTGATCTGAGAAAATGCTTGATATGATTTCAGTTTTCTTGATTTTGTTATTCTTTTGTGTCCTACCATGTGGTCTATCTTTGGGAATGATCCATGTGCATTTGGAAGAATGTGTATTCTGATGCTTTAAAGAATTATTTGAAAAGGAATTCCAAGGGGACATTTGGTTGATTCTGTTTGTGTTAAGAGCTTGTCAGCCTGATCCATCCTTTATGAAGTTCCACATTTGCTTTTTTTCATCTAATGGTTTTAGCTGAGATTGATTTTTATTTTATTATTGCCTAGATCATTAATTTGCAGGGAGTTAAAATAATGGTCATGTTCTACTTCCATTGTTATTTCTGCATATTATTGGCTGGAATTGTTCTGTAAAGAAGAACTTATCATTAACTAGCCATATCTTTCCTTTTTTCTAAACTGCTAGAAAGCTCAAGGGGCTTACCCTCAGCCAGGGTCTGGGCTTGTGGATACTGAACTTTTAACAGGAACCAACTGAATTGGAGCCTTACTCCAGTGTGCATTGTGTTAGGATCTTCAAGCTGGCATTTCCACTGAGCTGTTTTTATGCATTTTCAATATCTCCTGAGGCAGCGTATAACCACACCAAACTCTGGGTTGTCCAGATTTTCTCCTAAGGGTGCCAATCACTATTTTTAGGCCTCTTATTACAAAGTTGCATAGGCTTGAGTGGTTAGTTCCTAATGCTCTTTTTCTCATACACTCTATAATTTTTATTGTATGGCTTTGCAGATGATGTTTTTAAGAATGCTTGTTTTGTTTTTTTAAGAGAAAACACATTATGAAAACACACTAACATTCCCAGTTCAGATTTACAATTAAATTTTTAAAAAAAGTTATTTGATTTTATATTGCGTTTTTCTCTTATTATGTGAGTTTTGGTGGTTCCTGCATTAACATAAATATGTATTTGCTTTAGCCAAATACGTGAGATTTAGAAAAGCAAAACCAATATTTTTACTAATAATATGATTACTGAAAATAGTTTGACGACTTTGTAATTGTTTTTGTCTGTAGGATATATCCTACCAGGAATGTACAATCAACCTATGTTTTAGAATCACTTGACATAATTCCTCTCCGTAGTTAAACCACCAACTAGTTAAATTCAATTTTTTCCCCCTCTTCAAACTTTTAGTTTCCCTCCTTTCCTTTACAGGTAAATTATGCTTTTTATTGGTTTTGTGTTCTTCCATTGTTTTTGTTGCTGTATATATTTTTAATATAAGCAAATATATATTCATATTACCCCCTTTCTTAGATAAAAGTTTTCATACATTACATCCTATACTAGACTCTGCTTGTTTTACTTAACAGTAAATCCTGAGCATCACTCCATGGTAGTTATAGAAATAGTCTATATTCCTTTTTTTTACAGCTACATGATTCTACATTAACAGATATACCTTAGTTTACTCAGCAGTTCCTTATTGATAGTTGTTTATTATTTATAATCTTTGGCTATTAACAAATAGAGCTGCAGTGAATAGCTCAGTGTGTGTGTGTTCTGTATATTTTTGCCAATGTGTTTTAAGGTTACATTCCTAGAAGTAGGGTGTTTATGTACTTTGTTGGGCATTGCCAAATACCTCTCCATTTTTCATTTCCAGCAGCAATGTATGTAAATGTGTTTCCACATAGCAGTTATCATATGTTTCAGAGTTATTTGCATTTCTTTTTCTGTGAACTGTCTGCCTGGTCATATGGCTTGCCCATTTTCCTAAAGGATTGCTAGTTTTTGTTTTCTCTATTTTAGAAGCTGTATATTAACCCTTTGTGATATAATTTGCACGTATTTTTTCCACTTTATCATTTGTTTTGTACTTTGGTTAAAGTTTTTATTTTTATTTTTGTCATCTAAAAGTTGACAGTTATTATGGATTTCTGTTATTTCTGAATTTTGAATTATAATTAGGAAACTTTGTCATTCTCAGATTTTATCAGTTTTTTGAAAAATTCACCCATATTTTCTTATAATGTTTATATGGTTTCCTTCTTTACACTTAGATCTCATATCCATGAAGAATTTGTTGTGTAGTGTGAGAGACATATCCCATTTTTATCGGATTCTATATGATTATACAATAATTCTCATTACATTACCTATTAGAAAGCCCTCTTTCCCTCATACTGATTTGAGATGCTGTGGGTCTTTTTAAAATTGAATTGATATCTATGCTTTATCATTTTCTTTAACCTCATTGAGAAGTTTTAATGTTAGCAAGTTAAAAATGAGTGTAACTATTAAACTGTAACATATATTTTCAGGGCTACTTAATGTTTCTAATTTTACATCCAAGTACAATTGAATTATTGGCTAGGAAACTTGATAATTGCAAGTTGTACTACTTTGACCATTGATGAAGTGTTATTTCCTTACAGTGCCACAAGGTTGCAGTAGTGAGAGAAGATAAATTGGAAGGTAAGTATTTTAGCAATTTAACAAGTTTTTCCTCTTACGGCGTTAATGTAGGTTCAATAAAAAGTCTGCCCCTGACATCTGCATAAAATATATTCGCTGTTAAAGGAATGTATAGTCCTTTTATTAGTAGTTCCTGAAACATTAAAATATGATACTTCATCTGCCTAACTTCCCATTTTTAAGGTCAATAGCTGCTAACATTTATAAAGCACTTTTTTCACAGAATTTCAAAACTCGTGACAGACATGCAAAAACTATTATGAATACCATATGTAGCACCTCAGCAACTGTAAAAAAACAGTAGTCTTTAAATATTGTGTTGTGTTCCTTAACAGTTTTTTTAGGGAGAAAATTTAAGAATGCTTTTTCTAAAGTCAGAAAGATTTAATATTATTTCTAAATTAAATTTATCCACCTGTTTCAAGACTATGTATGCTACTGGTCTATTTTTTAAAAACTGAATTCAAAGGAACTGTGTAACAGTCAGGGTCCATGTGATCTTGGACCTATGTCTCAAGACAAAACCTATACAGTTGTTCTTTATAAAGTCATTTCCTGGGGTCATTTTCTCACAAATTAACTTTGATGTATCCAGGGTGGTGGAATCTTTTTTTCTGAATTCCCACATTGGTAGGCAAAGCAAGATTTATTCATTCAGTTGATATATAGTAAGTATTTACTCTGTGTCAAGCTCTGTGCTAGGCACTAGAGACAGAGACTTGGAATAAGTTAGGCACAGTCCTTTCCTTCATGGAAATGAAAATTTATTCTTGTGACATTCTTACATGTTTTTCCTCTGCACACTTATCTGGTTATCTTATCTGGTTGGTAGTATTTTGTGATAGAGTTGCTTACTCTAAAGTTGTATTACATAAGTGAGCCTTCTCAGATAAAAATTACTTATTCCTTAGTTATATACTGGAGTGTAAGAATCTTCCCTGACTGAAAAAAAAATTAAAGTCATCATCAATCATTCATTAATATTTACTGAGTGTCAACTGGATGAGTGATACTGTCACAGGTACTGTACTTAGCACTGACTCACCACCACCTACCCTGTCATAATGTCCCCGTTGGAGACAGAAGAGGTGATGTTATACTGCATATGTGGCTATTTGGCCTTTTAGAGCTTTTGGACCACTACAGATTGAAAATGGTTTTAATGCAGAAGGGTTTCTTGTTAAAGTCCCCACATGCTATGAAGTTTGTGTATTAACAGACTGCTTTTCCTGTTGACTTGTAGCAGTGAAGTCCAAGCTAGCTGTGACTGCCAGCGTCCATGTGTACAGCATCCAGAAAGCCATGCTAAAGGACAGTGGGCCTCTGTTCAATACCGACTATGACATCCTTAAAAGCAACTTGCAGAACTGCAGCAAGTGAGCGCCTTAATGTTCCTTGTGGGCTTCTTTACGAATTGATTTTGTAAGATGTTTACACAGTGGCTGCCTCTTAAGAGTGAGTGCCAAGTCTAGTAAAACCCCATTTATCTTGCAGTAAGACACATGCCTGGTTTTATTAGTACATCATAAGGTGAAAAATAGCAGCCACAACCCATATTGAAAACCCCAGTGGACTCCCCATAAATCTCTTTCTCATGAATTTATCCTGTCACAGCCACCAGAAATGTTTGTTGAGCCCCCTCATTACTCTCTTACTCCCGTCTCTGCTTGTCTAAATTCTGCCCATCCTTTAAGAACCAGTTCAAATGTTGTCCTTCAAAAGACTACTTCTAATTTGATATCCTTCTTCCTTCCATCTGAAAGCAGTTGATCTTCCACAGCCAGGATCAGATCTTGTTCATCTTTAGCATCCTTCACAGCACAGGGAAGTGATGGACTGTAATGCATGTGGGATTTTGGTTTTGCTGGCCATGGACTTGAGTTGTGGCTTTGCTGCTTAATACCCATGGCTTTGGACAAATTACTTACACTCTTTGAGCTTTGATTTCTTCATCTTTAAATTAGACATAATAATGCCTACTTTGTGGGGTTGTATTGAATTCAGGTCAGCTCCCCAGATACATGTTGAATGCCTACAACTTTGACAGATATTAGGCAAGGTAACTTGAATTCATTCAACAAAGATCTGCTGTGTGCCTATGACATGCCACACTCTATAGAGTGAATATGGCCCAGTGTCTGCTTAATACTCTGAGATGATAGAGATTTTGGAATCAGAGAAAATAGGTAATTAATTGGGTAGACATCATCATACAGAGGGAATGTATGGAATGAAAGAAGGACAGAAAACAAAACTCTAGGCTATAATTACTAACTGAGTAACCTTGGGCAAATTAACCTCTCTGTGCTTCAGTTTCCTCATCAGTAAAATTAAGCTGACAACAGTAGCAACCTTGCAGGGCTGTAGAGCATTAAATAAATTAATGTATGTAAAGTGCTTAGAACTGTGCTTGGCACATAGTAAGCACTATTTAAGTGATAACCATTTTAAAAGGATGGACAGAAAAAAGAGGGGCCCGAGAGGGACCAGCCAGAGATAAGAGGAAAATTACAAGAGTATGTGTAACTCTTCCCAAAAGTGACCAGAGGTCACCTCTGAAGATGGTTTGCTATTCACTTGACCCAGAAAACCCCACAAAATCATGCAAATCATGAGGTTCAAATCTTCGGGTTCACTTCAGGAACATTTGTGAAACTGCCCAGGCCATCAAAGGTATGCACATTCGAAAAGCCACCAAGTGTGTGAAAGATGTCCTTTAAAGAAGCAATGTGTTCTATTCCGTCGATACAGTGGTGGAGTTGGTAGGTGTGCCCAGGCCAAACAGTGGGGCTGGACACAGGGTCGGTGGCCCAAAAAGAGTGCTGAGTTTTTGCTGCACATGCTTAAAAATGCAGAGAGTAATGCTGAACTTAAGGGTTTAGATGTAGATTCTCTGGTCATTGAGCACATCCAGGTGAACAAAGCTCCCAAGATGCGACGTAGAACCTACAGAGCTCATGGCTGGATCAACCCATACATGAGCTCTTCTGCCACATTGAGATGATCCTCACTGAAGAACAGATTGTTCCTAAACCAGAAGAGCAAGTTGCACAGAAGAAAAAGATATCCCAGAAGAAACTGAAGAAAGAAAAACTTATGGCTTGGGAGTAAATTCAGCATAAAATAAATAAAATAAATACTAGTAAAAGTAAAAAAAAAGAAGTATGTGTAGTTGTAAAAGGTAAGGAAAGTTTCAAGAAGGAGGGTCTGAGAAGCTAAGTAAAATAGGAACTGAAGCGTTCATTAGATTTAGTGATGGCCTTGGTAAAAGTATTTTCAGTGGAGTAATCAGATTCTGGTCAGATAACTCTAGGAAATATGCCTATAACATGGAGAAAAAAGGAATTGAGACTAAGGGAAGATGCATATATTTTTTTAAGTTGAGAGTGCCTTGATTTTATATTGTTAGGAAAGAGTGATAAAAGAGGAAATGGTTGAAGATACTGGAGAGATGAGATAACTGATAGAGGACACATATATATAGAATTTCCAAGCATAGTGTCTGTAACTTCGATTAAAAATAGGGATCGTGTTTATTTTGTTAACCACTCTCTACCCCTAACAGTGCCTAGCAGATGGTAAACATTCAGTAAATAATTGAATGAACTAACATTAGACACTATTCTTTTTTTCTTTAGCTTAAAACCTTGAGTATAATAGGCATACAAATATTTGTGAAATAAATATTATGTAACTAAAGAGTAATAATTTATAAGTCTGGTGTCTTATCAAAAGATTACAGGAAACAATACTGATACATTTATGTAAATTGTATTATTAGATTTCAAAAATAGTTTATTAAAATCTAGTGATGGTATGTTGAGCTCTAAACATTTTTTATTCTGTTGTATCTAACAAGTAAGCAAACAAGAATAAAAGTGACTCAGAGGTTCAAAATGAAAGTTACACAGGGACCTCTAAAATAAATATGGCAAGTAGAAATATGGTAATAGGAAGCACTTTAATGAAACTTTACTTAAATACTTAAAGTAGCCTTGGTAAAAATGTGAAGAATTTATCTCCAGTAAAGAAGTTTGTATTTGGTCTTGAGAATTATGGGCCAACTGAGATCTGACTCATTGTTTCATGTGTTTTTAAGAAGTGCTGTGACAGGAAGAAAGTTGAAATTTTAGGATTGAGCAGATTCTTCTCTCTTCGGACACGTTCCCAGCCTAGCGTGGTCTCTTCCTCGTTGCCAATTCCTGGTCCTGACCCTAAGGTGTGGAATGTAGACCAAATGGAGAAAGAGTTGTCTTGGGGCCAACTTTAGATGTTGACAATGAAATAAAACATTGCTCTTTTTCTTGTACATGGAAGGACTGCAAGACCAGAGAGGTAGAGTAGTGGGTGAAAGGAAATGATTTCCGTCTGTTCTTAATTCTGATGCACAAAATATTTGTGTTAATGTAGGGTTTTCTAATGTGGACCACAATAAATCAGTGGAAGATTTTTGGAGCTGCAAGTTCTAGCTCTGGGGTTGTTTGGTCTGAAGTTACTTTTGAAATTAAATGATTTATCGGGGATTTTTTTCCTTAGAGCAGTTATTCTAGCAGCTCATTTTGAAGTTGTGCCTGGTTGATCACAAATTGCTTTTACCATAGAGTTTCTTGACCTCCATCTTCTTCCATCCCACCACCTACAAGCTGAGGTGATACATTGAAGACAGAGAGCCAGAAGCCTTACTTGCCACGGCTTAAATAGTCATTCTTTTAATATATATTTCCTGATACCATTATATGCCAGGTCTTATACTGGGTACTTTTACTTACCTACTCCCAGTAAATAAAAGACTGGGGGAAATAAAATGTTCTTTGTTAGGAAAAGTTGGGGAACTTTGCTTCAAATATAGCCTTTTGAGAAAGCTAAATCAGATATCCATTCACAATGTGGAAGATTACTTTATGGGTTTGTGTGAAACAGGCATATCTACAATGAATGTTCCCTTCAGTATCCATGCAGACAGTCCCAAATTTCTTCACTTGGCTTTGGATGTACTTTTCTGGTGCCATTAGTTGGTATTATTAGAAATTATTAACAAACAACTGTTAAGGACCACAGGTTATAGGAGCTAGTGGCGGTGTTCCCAGCTTCTTCCAAGTTTTAAACCATGATCCACTCTCACTAGGAGAGTTGCCAGGAAATTTGTTAATATTTAAAGCACTTAACTTTGATTCAGTCAATAGTTATTGCATATCTCGTCCTGTAAGATGAAGGTCTTTAAAAACAAGAGGATAACCATTTGGTTTCACAAGTATGGTGAAACGTCTAATCTTTATTATTGTTTGGTGTATTCTTACTATTTAGAATCAGGATGCTTTTTTTCAAAACAAGAATATTCAATATGGTGTGTTAGAGTCCATATACTAGTTTTGATTTTCAATCCTAGTCCTGTTACTATTGATAGATTTATAACCTAGGACAAGTCTCTGACTTCTCTCTAATACTTGTTTATCTGAATGAGAATTTTGCGCAAAATTATTTCTGAAATTTGTTCTAGTTCTACAATTTTCTTTTATAGTATTAGAAAGTATTATATTGAAGAAGGAAGGGTTTGAAAGTCAAGTTTGATATTGACATTAATGTGACATTTCTGTCCTTAGGTTTAGTGCCATACAGTGCGCAGCTGCAGTCCCCAGAGCCCCTGCTGAAACCTCATCTTCTGAAAAGTTTGAGCAGTCAAATCTTCAGGTATCAAGTGAGACACAAGCCAATAATGAGTTGACCACCAATGGTTATGGCCCACCTAGCTCCAAACAGATTTCCCACCAACCTAAAGGAATTATGGGAATGTTTGCCTCTAAAGCTGCTTCTAAAACCCAAGATGCCAGCAAAGAAACCAAAACAGAAGCTAAAGAGGTAACAAATGTAAGTCTTCTTTAAAGATGTGCCTTTCAGCTCAGAATGGGTAACTAGACAAGTGTTAATAGTTCTAGTGGCAGTAGAATTTAATTATATAAAGTTCTGATATTTAGTTCTAATTTTTATACTTTAGTTTGAATCTTTTCTGATATTTTCATCTGAAATAGTGTTTTTCTTTTGATAATGCTTCTCACCAATCCTTGAGCTATTAAGTGGTGGAACGAGCATTCAAATTTACTTCTGATGATTACAAATGTAATGTGTTGGGTGGTTTTCCCCATCATGTATCATTCTGCCTCTGATCTATTTTAATTCTGTCAAACTATAGTTTTTAAATACATTCAAGAAAAGTTTAGACATATTCATGGATAATAATTTTATAAGAACTGTGAGAATCTAAGCTTTGGAGATTAACGTCCGATACTGGCGGGTCTGGATTTGTTCTTATACTTAATGCATACACATTTTGGCATCATTGCATAAAGGCTGAACCATTGTGGCAGTGTGCTCTGCTATTGAAGGGTGCTTTTTTTTTTTTTTTGAGACTGCTACTTGAAGAGCAGCCTAAACATTTAAGAAAAAACTTGTGTGTTTTCTATGTTTTTAGGCTTCTTCAGCAGGTAACAAGATACCAGGGAAAGGGAATGTGATGAGCAATTTTTTTGGAAAAGCCGCTATGAGTAAGCATGTTTTTACCTTCTTTTGACCATTAATACATGAACGTTACTATGATAACTTATTACATATCTGAGGCCACCTTGTCTCGTTTTACCCATCTAGGACCCTACCATGTAGCATTTCTAAACCCTAACATAAATTATCAGTATGCTGATGAAAGGCCCCCAACCGGAACAGTGGATTTTATGGGTGAGCTGGGTTCAGCTTAGATCCATTGGAGTGTAGTTCACTATTCCTATGTTTACCTTCTGCCTTGAAAAGAGAATTGAATATTTGTTTCATAGAGTTCCTGAAAATGGGGATTAAAACAAAAACCTGGTTAAGCAGTGCAGTGTTGAGGTTAATATCTTGGATGCTGAGGTCAGTTTGCCCACTGTGATCACTGTTACTCTCGTCTCCCAAGGGGCTGCAAAAAGCAAAGCTTTTGCTTTTCTTTCCTTAGTTATTTTTACAGGTTACTCATAGTAATGAGTAAATTAGTGTGAATTAGAAGTGCCCAGATAATACTGGCCGTCTGAAAAATATCTCCTTTATTTATTTAAAAAAATTTAAATAAGAATTCTTTCATATGCAAAGAACCAATGGTCACATATTTTCATACTTCTCGTATCAAGTAAACATCCCCTGAGGGTATGTGGTAGAATACCAGGAAGAATGTAGGAACCGCAGGATAATTATAGCGCACTTTTTTGGAGCATCAGTTTTATAAAGATTTTGTGGGGAGGCATTTTATTATGTGCCTTTGCAAGCAAAATTAGTCAGAATTCTGCTTTTCTGTGATGGTCAAATTGGTGGTTGGAGGAGGGGTTAGAGTTTTTAATTTGCCATAAAAGCTATCAGAGAACATTTTTGTGTTCTGAAAACATATGGAAAATTTGATCCTTTCAGGTTACTGGGATACACAGTTGTATTCTTGCAAGCAGAGTGGACAAGGAGGGCTTCCCAATTCTGTGAAAGTAGATCATGCTGATGTCACTGGTCTCTGTGACTGGTACTGCTCCCCTGCACTCAGTCAGATTGTGTGGTTTCCTGGCAACTTCAGAGAGGTTCACATGTATATATGTTGTTTTTTTAATGCATGTAACCTTAAAAACCAGTGAAATTTTGAATTATTATTTTTTAAATACATAAACTATGAATATTTGTTAATTGTAGAAAAAATAAAATCAGCTCCTTCTCCAAGAAAAAAGCAAATGACGGATGATGGCGCTGCTTCGGGAGGGCCTGAAAGTGGGAGAGGGAATCAGTCTTTCAGAAGTATACACTTACTTACTCATGCGTGTTATTCAGCAAATATTTATTGAGCGCCTGTTGTGTCTTAGACACTGTTACGCATTGATGCTAATGGAGAAAATGTACACAGACGGGGTTCCTGCCCTTGAGGCCCTTATATTCTACTGACAGAGAAACGGGTACAAAAGCAGTGAAATGGTTCATCATCGTAATGTGAGGCAGGGAGTAAAGGGTGTTATGATAGAATGTAACAGATAGAGAAGAAAAACCTGGATAAAATAAAAGAATTAAATATTTACCTAATAAAAAGAATGGCTTACAAAGTTGATTATTTCACATGTTTTTTTACAAGGCTAAATGTTTAGACTTAAATTATGAGTATTCTTATATTTAACACATGATAAGATCATTGCAGTGATAATCAAACTTGCGAGTTAGATGAAGAGAGGTGATTGTGGAGACTTGAACCATTTACAACTTGATGCTGGACAATAATAAGTGTTAGCAAGGATGTGGAGAAGTTGAACTCTCATACATTGCTGTGGGGAATGTAGAATGATGTGCTCATTTTAAAAAAAGTGTGGCAATACAGCAAAAAGTTAAATATAGAGGTACCCACTCTCAGGTATCTACTCAAGAATTAAAACTTGGACATAAGTCTAAATGGCAGCATTATTCATAATAGCTATAAAGTGGAAGCCAAAGGTCCATCATCTGATGAATGGAATAAACAAATATGGTATATCCACACAATGGAATATTATTTAGTCAAAAAAGAATGAAGTTGTGATACATGCTACAGCATGGATGAGCCTTGAAACATTATGAGAAATGAAAGAAGCCAAAAGGCCATGTATTGTTGGATTCTATTTATACAGAATATCCCGAATAGGCAAATCTATAGAGACAGAAAGTAGATTAGTGCTTGTCAAGGGCTGGGAGTGATGAAGATGTTCTAAAATTGCATATTGGTAATGGGTACACAAATAATAACCACTGAATTGAACACTTTAAAAGGGTAAATTTTATGAAGTGTGAATTATATCTCAATAACAAAAACTTTAATGCTTTTTATGTAAAAAAAAGAATAGCATTTGGTGACAAAGTTATCATGTTATCTTTCTTTGCTTGAAAAGGGGTTTCATATTTTAAGATAAAAATGAGATGGTGTTAATTAGCCAAGTGATACAAGTATTGTGTCTTGATCAGATCACTCAGGTAACAAGCAAATGTGATTAAGTTTTCCTTTACAGTTGCCTGAAACTGTTGCAATAACTACCTCTTTACCAGCTAATTGGCCAAGTGTAGTTTAATATATGTATAAATTAGATTTCCTAAAATGCTGTGAAACCAAGACAGAATAAAACTCTCATTGCTGAATCTGTATGATCAATGGTATTTTAATTCAGATCAGTTTTCTAAAATCGATATATTTGATGTGATAGTCTCTTTCCTTAACCCATGAGATAGGTAGAAAATATTTGGAGGTTTTTTCCTCCTAATGGTGTAACTTTTAAACAGATGCTAACAAAATGATGTAAATTATGTAATAGAGTGCAGACTTTAAAGATACACTTGCACTTCAGAGAACTTTCTTTGGGTCACTCACTGACCCCCGGATTCCTTGGAGATACATGTTTACTCTCCCGTGCAGTTTGGTGGGAAAGTTTGAGAAGTACTGCTACTTGAGAACGGCTGTAGTGAAAATGCAAGAGAGAAAACCACCACGGGCCTGGTCGATTCGACCATTCAGACTTACCGTTGAAGTTTTCAAAAAGTAAAGCATAAACAGATTGCATGTTATACTTTTATCTATCACCTATTCTTTCAAATAATATACTTTATTTATAAACTGCTATACTAAACTCTGTGTAACAGCCAAAAACTAAGATAGCAATCATTATTTTCTGTACTGTAGATGGTTGAAGCTATTTTATGACATAATACCAAAACTACTTATTGAAGAGCTTCATGCTGTTTACAACTTTCTAAGAGTATTTTGTGACTTCTTTGAAAAAAAAATCACTGAGTATAGCATATCATTTATATATATTTCTAATATAATTTTTCAGATGGCAAGACCCATTCTCTTAAATTTCTTAGTCCTTTGCACTACACCATAGTTGTTGTGTTTTTCAGCTTGATGTGGGGAAAGTGGTTAGGGCTTTGAGGAATTAAACTGATTTAGGTTCCTGTCTTGGCTCTTCCTTTCCTATCAGTGTTACTTTGGGTAAATCTCTTAACCTCACATACTGATCTCTTTTAATACTTACAATAATCTTGTAAATATTACTCTGGTTTTTATAGAGAAGACTGATTTTAGATAAATCAGCTTGCCCAGAATGGAGTGGGATTAGAACCAAACTTTTCTGATTCCAAAATAGTTTTTCAGTAATATCATTAAGGTAGTAGGATATTAAAGTATCCAGGTTTAAGAAGTTAGAATATAATAGAAAATGAGATCCTAGTACAAATTTATGTTGTCACTATTTGTAAACTGTGTACTCCTGGGGAACATCTTTTAATCCCTCTTACTCTTAGTTTCCTCATCTAACAAATAAGAATGGTATACCTCATAAAGTTGTATTTGTTTTTTTCTAAGCCTTGCTTTTACTCTCATTTGCCGTGGGGGCTGTGATATTATGAGGGATTAGCAGGAGGCAGAAATGGAAACAGTTATAGCTAGAGTGGTAGTTGGAGAGGAGAAATGTTCTCTGACTAGACCGTGAGCTCTGTTAGGACAGGGACTGTTTTTTTTATCCCTTAAGTCCCTGTTCCTAACATTACCTGGCACTTAGTAGACTGTCAAAGGAATGATAGATGAATATTGCACGGTGGGATTATACATCCTCTGTTATACTTTATTTGTAGATAAACTTAAAGTCAATTTGGATTCAGAGCCAGCAATGAAAGAAGAAAAAATTGTGGAACAACCTCCACTGTCTGTCACTGAACCAAAGCTGGCAGCCCCTACAGGCCTGAAGAAACCCAGCAAAAAAGCAGAGCCTGTTAAGATGCAGCAGGAGAAAAAGAGGTAGGAAAATTTTGTCACTTGTGGGGGAAGAGTGTTTCTGCTGGGGTTGAGAAGGTCTGTTTGGGCTTATTGACAACAGGCAGTTTTCAGCTGAGCACTAAATCCTGCTTAATGCCTTCAGGATACAGCTACATAACCCAAGTGAGGGGAGAAGCTCCTAGCTACTGCAGCAGAACTGGAATCTGCATTTTAGATCATTTAAAGCCCCAAGTCAAGTTTTTGGGCCCCATTGATCTAAATCAATTGTCTTTTCTCCTTTACTTCATTTTAAATTTGTGGACATGGCATAAGTGTGCCTGATTGTGTGTCTGTTTTTCCCTTCAAATTGCGAATGAAGGGTTACTCTTTCCAGTCAAATTTAAGAGAAAAAGTTCTTTGTTTTCTTTTTATATCAATGAGTTTATTTTTCAAGTGGTAAAATGTAATTAGAAAAGAAAATAAAAAGCACACAAGCTGTTAAAAATGGATCCAGGAATTTGAGACACTACCTCATAGTTGGTAGGAGTGAGTTTGTTGAAAGAAATTCTAAAGGGCACTGTCACACTGATAGGCCCAGAAATACTGGACTCCTGTGGCACGGATGGGGATACTCTACTAGAAGAACCTCAACAAATTTGCTGATGTTTCAGAGGGTCAAGGCTCTGTCCAGTGGGGCTCACCTCCTAGAAACATGTGATATGGATTAAAATGTCCCAATGATGGGTACAACACTCATTGCTGATGACTATTGCCAGGAATGCACTAAGTATTTTAGCACTAAGTATAATGTTAACTGTATATTTTTAGTGGATGCCCTTTACCAGATGGTAGAAGGTGTTGAATTTTCACAGATGCTTTTTCTGCATTTATTGAAATGATTGCACAGTGTCTCTGTTAAGGTAGTGAATTACGTTGATTTGTTTTCAAATGTTAAACCAACCTTGAATTCTGGGATAAAGCCCTACTGGGTGGTGATATATTATTCTTTTTATACACTGCCAGATTCTATTTGTTAATATAAGGATTTTTTTTTTTTTTTTTACCTCTACACATTTACAAGGGCTATGGATCATTTATTTTCTTTTTTTAAAATAGACTTTATTGATTATACTATTACAGTTGTCCCAATTTTCTGCCTTTTGCCCCGCTCTGCCCAGTATCCCATTTCCTCTAGCAATCCCCTCCCCCAGCCCTTAGTTCATGTCCATGGGTCATGCATATAAGTTCTTTGGCTACTCCATTTTCTGTGCTGTTCTTAACATCCCCCTGTCTATTTTGTACCTACCAATTTGTACTTCTTAATCCCTGCACCTTTCCCCCCATTTTCCCCCTTCCCCCTTCCAGGTGATAACCCTTCAAATGATCTCCATATCTATGAATCTGTTCCTGTTCTGCTTGTTTGCTTAGTTTGTTTTTTTTATTTTCAGTTGATCGTTGTGAATTTATTGCCATTTTAATGTTCATAGTTTTTATCTCCTTTTTCTTATGTAATTCCCTTTGACATTTCATATTATCATAGCTTGGTGGCCCTGGCTAGTGTGGCTCCATGGAGTGAGTGGTGGCCTGGAAACAAAAGGGATGCCTGTTCAATTCCCAGTCAGGACACATGCCTGGGTAGCAGGCCAGGTCCCCAGTAAGGGGCACGTGAGAGGCAACCACCCATTGACGTTTCTCTCTCTTTCTCCCCTTCTCTCTAAAAATAATAAAATCTTTTAAGAAAATAATGACTTGGTGATGATGAACTCCTTTAATTTCACCTTATCTGGGAAGCAGTTTATCTTCCCTTTAATTCTAAATGATAGCTTTGCTGGACAGAGTAATCTAGGTTGTAGGTCCTTCCTTGCTTTTCATCACTTTGAATGCTTCTTGCCAGTCCCTTCTTGCGTGCCAAGTTTCTTTTGAGAAATCAGCTGATAGTCTTATGGGAACTCCTGTGTAGGTAACTATCTGCTTTCCTCTTGCTGCTTTTAAGATTCTCTCTTTATCTTTAACCTTTGGCATTTTAACCTTTGACTTGGTGTGGTCCTCTTTGGGTTCAATTTGTTTGGGACTCCATGTGCTTCTTGGACTTGTATGTCTATTACCTTCACCATATTAGGGAAATTTTCTTTCATTATCTTTTCAAGTAAGTTTTCAATTTCTTGCTCTTCTGCTTATTCTGGCATCCTTATGATTTGGATGTTGTTATGTTTGGAGATGTCCCAGAGGCTCCTTAGCCTATCCTCGTGGTGTTTTTTTTTTTAATTATTTTTTTCTGCCTGCTGTTCTGATTGAATGCTTTTTCCTTCCTAATGTTTCAAATCATTGGTTTGATTCTTGGCTTCATCCCCTCCACTGTTGATTCCCTGTAGATTTTTCTTTATTTCACTTGATGTAACTTTCATTTCTGCCTGCGTCTTTTTTATGCTGTTGAAGTACCTAGTGAGTTTCTTGAGCATTCTGATAACCAGTGTTTTGAAGTTTGCATCTGATAGGCTTATCTCCATTTCATTTAGTTCTTTCTCTGGAGTTTTGTTCTTTTCTTTCATTGGGGCCATATTTCTCTGTCTCCTCAATTTGGCAGCCTTCTTGTGTTTGTTTCTGTATATTAGGTAGAGCTGCTTTCATTCCATGTCTTAGTAACATGGCCTATTGTGGAAAAGTGCACCTGTAAGTTGTATTATGTGGAGTCTTAGGTATTCGCCAGGGCACGGCAATCCATGTCACTGCTTAGTGGCGCTGTGTAGGGGAGGGTCAGGGAGGGGACGGTGCTGCTGTCTGGCCTCCAGAGTTTTGCCTGGGAGGATTCTGTCTCCTGGCACTCATCCCATTGCCAGTCACTTGAATTTCTCCCTCTGTGCCACTCGTGCCCTTCCAGTTGTTGCCCTGGTGCTGAATCCCAGAGGGATTGGGTCTGCATAAGTCCTAAGTCTGTTTCGGGCCCTTTAAGAGGAGTCTCCTGCGATCCCGCAGCTTCTTCTGCTGTCCCAACCCCCAATGATTTTTTACAGCCAGAAGTTATGGGGACTTATCTTCCCGGCACTATAACCCTGGGCTGGGTGGTCTGGTGTGGGGCTGTGATACCTCAGGAGCGAGGTATCCATCTTGACTTTTATCCACCACATGTGGATGCAGGACCACCTGTTTTGCATCTCTGTGTCTATCCACACTGCTCCACCTCGCCAGCATCTCTGCATCGCCACCCCTCCTACCCATCTGGATGAATGTGGCTTCTTTAAATCCTTGGGTGTCAGACTTCCATACAGCTCAATTTTCTGATGAATCTGGGTGATACTTGTTTTGTAGTCAGTTGTAATTTTTTCTGTAGTTGTGCAAGGAGGCGAAGCATGTATTCCTATACCTCCATCTTGATTGGAAGTCAGTTATTTTCTTTTCTAGTAACATTAAACAGATTTCAGTATTAGAGTTATGCCGACTTCTTAAAATTAGTTGGGAGGAGTTTACTCATCCTGTTTTCTCTTTGTGTATGATATATATTATTTTTTATTAAAAGTTTGATAAAATTGACAAGTAAATCTGCGTCTGGAGTTTTTCTTTTGTGGGAAGGGTTTTTGGGTTTGTTTTTTTTTTTCTTAATGAATTTTATTTCTTTAACTAGAGCTCTTCAAATGTTCCTGTTCTTTTTGGATCAGTTTGGTTGTGTTTTTAAAGGAATTTGTTTCATCTATGTTGTTGAGTTTATTGCCTTAAAGTTGTTCATACTATAGCGTTATTCTTTGAGTATCTGTAGTTACCACTACAGATTCCTTCATTTTTGTCATTCCTAATATTGGTAATATCTTTTTTTGTCTTTATCAGTCTTGTCAAAGGCTTGTTAATTTTAATCTTTTCCCCAGAAGTAATGACTTTTAGCTTTATTAATTTTATCTACTTTATTGATTTCTGCTATTATTTTTGTTTGCCTATTTTGGGTTTAATTTATGATTTTGTAGTTTAAGGTAGAAAAATAAATTAATACTTAAAGTTACATAATAAATAAAGTACTTAAAGATAAAAATTATGTCTCTAACACACAGTAGGCCCTTGATAAATTATTTGGCTGGCCAAAAAGTTTGTTCGATTTTTTCTGTAAGGTGGCTCTAGTAGTGGTGCTTAGTTATCTTTAACTTCCTTTGAAACAATTTTGTTAGATTTTGTCGTAACAACTGTCATAACAGCATTTAAGAAAAATGTATCAGAATTGGTGAAATTTTGTGTAGCCATTTTAATACTGAAGATGGAAAAAATATGCAACATTTTTGGCTTATTATGCTTTATTATTTCAAGAAAGGTAAAAACACTACTGAAACCCAAAAAAGGGTTTGTGCAGTGTATGGAGAAGGTGCTGTGACTCATCGAATGTGGTCATTAGAATTACCTCGAGGTCTCTTATCTCCACCTTTGCTCATATTGTTTTTTCTCTTTAAAATGTGTATCCCTTTTCTATCTGATGAACCTCTACTTAGCTTATAAAGATTTCAAGTAAAACTCATATCCCCTAACATTTGTCCAGTAAAATTTATCCACATTGTACTATAGTTAGCAGTGTCTATATCTGTTTTTCCAGTCAAAGCTCCTTGAAATCAGTATTCACATCCCTAGTGTTTAGCAAAGAGCCTTATATATATATGTAGGTAGAAGCTACTTAATTCTTGTTGAATTATTGAAAGGCTGTAGCGGGAGTAAGAATTTAGAAAGATTCTCAATAACCTGGTAATGGTTTCTAGTGATCCATAAGAAAGCTAGAGAAAATTTTTATTCTGGTCATCCCACAAAGTAACCTTATTTGTGGTCAGTTAGCCTTGAAAAGAATCCTTATTAGTCTACTTGGATTTTTCTCTCCTCTGGAATTTAGACCATGGGTTAAGAAGCAAGACCCATAGTAGCATATGAACACTTATAATTTTATTTTGTGTAACCTGCTTAAATTTTTCCTGGATGCCCACAGGGGGAAGCGAGTGGAGTTATCTGATGATGAGACAAAAGAAACTGTAAACATGAAGAGAAAGAGGAGAAGAGTCAAACTTCCTGAGTCTGATAGCAGTGAAGATGAAGGTGGGCATTGCTGTTACATTTTTGGCTAGTGGGATTGTCTGTCAGTTCAGGCTGCTAGAACAAAAATACCATAGATTGGGTGGCTTAAACGACAGAAATTTATTCCTCACAGTTTTAAAGGCCAAGAAGTCCAAAATCAAGGAACTGGCTGATATAGCTTTTGGTGAGAGCTCCCTTTGTGGTTTGCAGAAGGACAGCTTTTTTTCCTCTATCGTCACATGGCAGGACGAGAAATCTCCTTTCTCATGTCTCTAATAAAGGCACTAATGTCACTCATGAGCGCTCTACTTTCATAACTCGGTTACTTCCCAAAATCCTCTCTTCCAGGTACTGTCACTTTTGGGGTTGGGGCTTCAACACAGGAATTTTGGGAAAACATAAACATTCTGTCCACAGCGGGGATCAATTCTTATTATGATGCTCAAAGAGCTAGTAAGTAATTTATTATGGATCACAATGACACTAGTAGTCCTAGCACTGAGCACCTATTTCTGTTTAAAATCTATGTTAGCCTTTTGACCAGAACTGTAATTTTCTTGTAATTTGCCAAAATAACAAATACAAAGGGAAAGAAGATGCAGATTATTAACATACATCATCAAAGACCGTTTTATTTTTTCATTTTTTTAAAATTTTATTTTTCAATTAGTTTACATTCAGTAGTAGTTTGTATTAGTTTGCAGTGTACAGCATAGTGGTTAGACAGTGATATACTGTATAAAGTTGTCCCTCTGATGATATTTCAAGTATCCACCTGGCACTGTACATAGTTATTACAATATTGACTCTATTCCATATGCTGTACTTTACATCTCCAGGACTGTTTTGTGACTACCAATTTGTCATTACTAATCCCTTTACCTTTTTCACCCAGCCCCACAAACACCGCTGCCACCACCTTAGCCCTCTCATCCCCTGCCCCAACTTTCTGTTTTCAGTATCTATGAGTCTGTTTCTATTTGTTTGTTCATTTCTTTTGCTCTTTAGGTTCCATGTACAAGTGAAATCATATGGTATTTGTCTTTCTCTGTCTGACTTATTTCACATAGCATAATTCCCTCCAGGTCCACCTGTGCTGTTGCAAATGTTAAGATTTCATTTTTTTTTTTATGGCCAAGTAATATTCCACTGTATATGTGTTCCACTACTTTTTTATCCATTCATCTATTGATGAGCACTTGGGTTGCTTATAGGGTGCACCTATTCTTTCAAATTAGTAATATTTTGGGTTTCTTTGAATATACATCCAGAGTAGAATCGCTGGGTCATGAGGCAGTTTTATCTTTAATTTTTTGAAGAACCTCCATACTGTTCTCCATAGTGGCTGCACCAGTCTGCATTTCCACTAACAGTACAAGTTTGTTGATTGATGGTGGCCATGCTGCCAGCTGTGTGGTGATATCTCATTGTGGTTTTAATTTGCATTTCTCAGATGATTAATGATGTTGAGCATCTTTTCCTATGTCTATTGACCGTCCGTATGTCCTTCTTAGAGAAGTGTCTATTCAGGTCCTTCACCCATTTTTTAAAAGAAAATTTCCAAGCGTGTTGATGAAACAACCATCAGGAACATTCTGACCAGTTAAGAGTTGAGAAAATAGAGGCAAGTCTATGCAGGAGTCGTGTTAATTGGAACAGTCTCCTAACAGGAGTTGTGTTAGGAATATGTGTTAATTGGAACAGTCTTACCTATTTCCAACCAGGAAAAGAACTTGGGGAAGATTCTGGAAAAGACTTTGAAGCCATGAGCCTAATGTACATTAAAAAGGGAAACTAGATACTCTGGTATTATCAGTGAAGGAGTCAGCTCTAAGTCAAGGAATTACTGTGGTTGACTGAACACTCATTACATACTTTTGAAATACTCTCTGAAATTCTGACCCTTAGCCCACAAAAATTATACCCATGGGTGATTAGAAATATGAGTGGGGTTATTTAGTTTGGAAAGGAGTGAGAGGAAATGTGATAGAGATGGACAACCTATAGTAACAGATGATATAGAGCAGAGGCTCTCGGATTTTTTTTCTGGCAAAGATAATTTTTGGCATCTGACTAAATTTATAAACCTTGGCCATTTTACTCCTAAATTTCTTTGTCTCAAAGCCAGTGGGGTTTTATTTTAACCTTTCCACAGTCTCTAACTTATTATTGTTTTATTTCTGTTACACTGAATATGTGCTATTAGTTTAGTATGTCGTTGTAGCATCAAGTCAGCAGATGAGCAACAGGAGTGGAGGAAATGGCAGGGACTTCGGAGTCAGAGCAAGTTTAAATCTCGCCACCGCCACTTACTGTGTGACACTTTAGGCAGGTTACTAAACTTCTTCAATTCCTTGTTTTCTCATTTCTAAAATGGGGATGTTATTAGAAACCGTGTAGGCTTTTTATGAACATCAAATAAGATGATGTGTCCAAAGTGCCAGGACAGTACTTGACAGAGACTAGGTTTTCTCATTATCCCCCCACTTTTCTGTTGAGTTGTTCAATAAGTAACAGTAATAAATGCATTTGCAGTACCTTCTCCCAGAAAATTCCCTTCAACTTCATATCCTTAGCTCTCTACTTAAGAGACTCTTCCTTTCTCCCCTCCTTGGCAGAGTCATAAGCACTTCAGCAATTCTATATACTCCCTTTGTAAAGCAAAACAAGGCTGGACCCCAAAAGAAGTAACGTTAAGAATTATCTACATTGCTAGGAAGAAATAGTTTAACCAATATATTTAAGTCTTGCTAACATTTTCAGTCCTTGCAGATTGCATATGGACAATGTTAAGCAAATGACCTGCTTTCGAAGGTTAAGATAGGTAGTAGAAAAGTTTCCTGGGACACTAGGAATGGTGTCCAGGAACTCTAATTACCAACCTCTGCCAGAAAACTCTGATAAACAGTGGTTACCTTGCTGGATCCCTAAAATTAGTTTTACCCCAGTGTTCTGCTCCCTGAGGTAAGTAATGTTTTACTACTTGAGTGCTTTTCATCTGAAGAATTGCAAATTCGTGAGAAATATACAGGGTGGGGCAAAAGTAGGTTTACAATTTTGAGTACATAAAACACAGTTTATTCTTGTATTATTTATTAATTATTGCATTATTTCCCATACAAACAACTGTAAACCTGCTTTTACCCCACCCTGTATTTAAATTACACTAGTGCATCAAACATTCCATATGCTTATGTCACTAAAAGTATATTGAGGGATAATGCAAAGCTTGAGAAGAAAGACTAAGGCAGACAGACATGGATTCTAGCGTATGAATGGGGCAAATGTTTTTTTGTTTTAAATCTCCTTGAATGAACCTCAGTCGTTTAAAACAGAAATCATAGTGACAGTAATAATGACTTTGTGAGATTGTTATGAGAATGATCGATCAATGGTTTATAAAGCCCAGAAAACTAGTGTTTTCCCCATTCTTTCTTTCTTAAAACATTTTATTTTTTAAAAAATTTTAAAGTAATACCTACATACAATTATGAAAATCAGATGAAATGGGTTTTATAATAGATAGTGACCTCTCCTTTCTGAGTTACCTAAGTGACTGATGCTTCTCCTGTCAACTTTCTCCATCTGCCTTCCATCTTTCAGGGATTGGTCGAAATTTCTTAGTCATTAAGAGCTCTTTGCCCCTCTTCTGTTCTCTTCCTTGGTATGGGGGGAGGGCATTTACAACATTTCACTCCTTTACCATTGTAAAGTTTCTCTCTGATGGGGTGTGACCCGGGAGGCATATGCTGAATCTTCCTTGACCAGGAAGCCCTTTATCCTAAATTTAGTTCAGAAAATGATTGTTTTCCTTTATTTAAAAAAAATTATTATTGTGTGCTCAATGCTAAAGAAATTATGGTACCTATGCCTCTGTGGAGCTTAGAGTCTGGAGGGCGAATCTAGGTAAACAAAGAGTTCCATACAGCGCAGTGCAGAGAGGGGTCTAGAGGTGCCACTAAGATTGTGTTTTCCTTGCTTAAGTCAAGTGGTTACAGAACTGGAAATAGAGGAAGCACTCCTAAGTTTATTACTGTGAGCACTCAAAATTCCTTTTCTTTGGCTTCCTCGCTGCATAAACTTTCCTCCTACCACTGTAACACAATTATGACACAGCTTTCTTAATAGCTGTACTCTCAGAAAAAAATGGGTGCTTGGTTCTGTGGTTTAACTTTGGCTTGCTTGAGCGCCTGTCAGCTTTTAGCCTCCCAGAGCTGGGTTAATAGATGGACCACTTTCTTTTTACATGTCTGTCTCTTGTGTCCCAGGGGTTATAAAGTTTTGGGGCCCATTTCATACTTGAAGTGTATAATTTATTGTTTCATTCTGGCTCTTGTTCGGCTTCACCTCTTTAGGTCATTTGGCCTTGAACCCTCCACTGTCATAATTTTTAACACTGACCTAATCAATTGGGAGGATTTCAGATCCAGGACTTGTGCTAAGAATTTGAAGACAGCCAGGAGATTCAGGGAGCAGGTGTGGCTAAGCAGCTACCCAGTCCCTTGACCAGCAGTTTCTTTGTGGTATAAGCAATAGGTCGGCCGAGGATTTCCACTCCCCTGTCATGGGCCTTATACTAAGACCATTATTCTTGGAACTCTTCAGAAATGATTCGATCCCTCTGATGATGCTCTCTTCTCAGGTGATACCACTTCCATAACAATGTTTCTTTCCTAAAAGTGTTCTCAGTGTAGCAAAACAAGCCTCATCAGTGGGGCCCTCACTAGAAATAGTTCCCATGCAATATTAAGGAGATCTTAATAGTTAGAGCTATAATTATGATCATTTCAAAGATGATGCCCCCACCCTTCAGAGTTTATGCTCTTAACATCAGCTGGAAAGGTTCAGTCTAACAAATATCTCAGGTGATTGCTAATAATCCTCAGACCACAGTCACAAAGACTCTGGCATAGAACAAGTGGTATGATCTTAGACTATCTCCATTTACTTGATCTTAGGAAAAAATATCTGGTCCTGAATGGTAAGGTAGCACAGGATAGTTGGAGTAGTAAGGCTGAGGAATCAGACTGACCTGGGTTTAAAACCTCCTGCCTCAGTTGCAAGCTCCGTGACCTCGTCAAGTTAACCTCTCAACCTCTGATTACCTAATTCTAATATGCGAATGATATTTGTCTCTTAGAGCTGTTGTCAGAATAAAGTGAAACAATGTAAGTAATATATGTGACTCATGGTAGGTGATAAGTGGCTACTTATAAAACAATCTCATATCCTGACTTCTCTGTAAAATACAAGGTTTAGCAAAGAAAATCTCTAAGGTACATTCCAGCTCCAATGATTCTTGATTCTTTAATTTTCTTTGTATAAAATTAATAAGCTGTACTTTTATATATGCGTAGAGATACACATATAACTGTGGAGTCCTTGGTTGTCATGAATTACTGCCTACAAAATGTCCTTTGCTGGATATGGAAACTTAGAGAGCCAGTGGGGAAGGCGATGTACCAGATAGTGCTGTCGTAGTTCTCCTATCTAAGCCTGTTTCATAATTTCAGTCTTACCAGATTCTCCTGGGGTTTATGAAGCTGAGTCACCATCCCCACCTCCTCCTGTGTCCCCACCTCCCGAACCAGTGCCGAAGACTGAACCAGAGCCTCCTTCTGTCCAGGTACAACTTTACTGGGATGGTTACCTTTCCATGTGCTCCTCTTCACCCAAGGACCTAAAACCACGGTTAAATCCGTTCTCGGCTGTATACTTCACAAGTGCCAGTAGATGGCTCTTGTCTCATTCTGCTCTCCTGTCAGTCATAAGAATGGACACTCCCTGTCTTCTCACCTGAAGTGAGATTTCAGCTGTAGGTCACAGTGTCAGGAAGGTCGCAGAGGTGGATCCTGGGAGCTGATTCTGCTACCCAGCTCCTCTTGGAACTGTGCAAAATGACATCTTGCCTGCATCAGAGCAGGGTGTGAGAGAGACAAAACTTACGCATGTTGGTTACTCTTCTGGAAAAGAGCTGAATGAGAAAAGCTGGCAACAGATTGAGAGATTAGATTTGAGTGCTCTTTAGTCGCATCCTGTCTACATCTATTAGGGTAGATAATGAAGAGTTGAGAAGATGGGTGCTGACAAGTTTCTTTTTCCTTTATAACTATCATTTTTCCTGAATTTACTGTATTAAGACTGTCATTTAAATTTTGTGTTGATTTCTTCATTAGCTGAAGAGCAGATGGGATTAAAGACCAGTGGAGATTAAAGTGAAGTAATGCCAGTCTGAGACTAAATTGGCTGGACGTGATGTTGCAGTGTCAAGGCTGAAAGACCAAATAACTACAGCAAGGGCAGATGCCGTGGAAACCTCTGGTCTGGTTTAGGCGCCTTCCCTGTGTGCTCCCATGGTACCTGCCTCTGCCTTCCAGTAAAGCCCTTATCACAGAGGTCTGCTTTACTTGCCTCTCTTCTCCGCTAAGTTCTTGTCCTATTGGTCTTTTTAACCCATGGTGCCTGCACTGCTCAACGAAAGTATGTGGCCGAATGAACACAGATTTTTGCTCAACATGTACTTTTCTCATTAACAATGAAATGTCAAACCTGCAAATACAATGAGCATAACTTACCTGTGTGGTAAGGCTGGTCCTATAAAAGGATATGTGTAGAATGCCTCGTTCAGCTTTTTTTTTTTTTTTTTTTTTATCATTATGGAATATTGGAGGTTGATTGTTATAAATTAAAAAGTTTTCATTTTTCTCTGGTTTTATTGGTCACCTTAATATTGTAACCTCTGATCTTTTAGATCTTAAGTGGAGAAAACAAAAGAAAACGAAAGCGTGTGCTGAAATCTAAAGTCTTCTTGGATAATGAAGGCTGCATGGGTAAGAAAAATGTGGGGCTCCCAGTCCAGAAATAGAGTTATTACCATAGGCAGGCACCTTCATAGAGCAGCGTGCCTCAAACTTTTATGTGCATGCAACACATAAAAGACACCCCCAAGTGATGCCTTGCTGCTTTTGTGGCCCACACTTTAGTAGCACAGTGTAGAGTCTATTACAGCTTAAGTTAGACCACCTGGTTCTTATTTGGGCCATACACTATGAAAATAAGCTTTGAGATCTTGGATAAAAGTTATGTCACCTCATGTGGGGAGTTTCTCGATCTATGGAATGGAGGTAAAGTTTCAGTTTTGCCTACATGTGGGGTTATGGTGAAGATTCAGGTGAGGTGATATATCTAAAAACACTTTGAAGATGGAAATCACAATACCAACTTAAAATGTTATCATAGATGTTGAGGAACTTTTTTTTTCCCCGATGGTCATTTTCTACACATGAACAGTGGAAAAGAAGCTCCTGCAGATGATTAGACTGAAGACAGTGTCATGGGTCTTTGGTATTTTGTCCCCTTTGTTCTTCACAGAGGTTTGACTCTTCCATATTGCCTCCTTGCTGTTTCCTGTTTGTAGGCCATGTTAGGTACAAGCATGTGCTTTTAATGGAGGCCTAGAGGGGAATAGAATTTGGTTTTGAAACAACCCAAATGTCTTTCAACAGATGAGTGAATGAATAAAGTTGGGGGTTTGAGTCTATGTGTGCGTGTAAAACGGAACATTACTCAGCCATAAAATGAACGAAGAAATCCTGCCATGTGTGACAACGTGGATGGACCCTAAAGGTGTTGTGCTAAATGAAATAAGACAGAGAAGAGACAAGTACTGTTTGATCTCATTTACATGTGTAGAGCCTTAAAAAAAAAAAAAAAAAGCAACTCATAGACAAAGGGATCAGAGTTGTGGTTACCAGAGGCAGGAGGAATAGGAAAAAGATGGTCAAAAGGTACAAACTTCTACCTACAAGATAAATAAGTACTAGGGATGTAGGTACAGCATGATGACTATAATTAACACTGTTGTACATATGAGAGTAAAGATTATCCAAAGAGTTCTCTTCACAAGAAAAAAAAATTTTTATTTCTATTGGGTTGGCCAAAAAGTTTTAGTTTTTTCCATACAAGGGCTCTAGTAGTGTTTAGTTGTCTTTCACGTGATTTGAAACAATTTTATTAGATCGTATTGTGACAGCTGTCATATCAGCGTGCATTTATAAAAAAACTACAAATTAGTGAACTTTTCAGCAGCTGTTTTAATATTGAAGATGGAAGAATATGGGCAACATTTTTAGCATATTACACTTTATTCAAAAAAGGTAAAAATGCAACTGAAGTGAAAAAAGGATTTATGGAGAAGATGCTGTGACTGATCAAACATGTCAAAAGTGGTTAACAAAGTTTCTTGCTACTATTGACATTTTGGCCAAATAATTCTTTGCTGTGGGGCTGTCTTAGGTATTGGAAGATGTTTAGCAGCAGCCCTGGCCTCTACCCTCTAGAAGCCAATAGAGGGAGATAGCCGACATATTCAGAATATCCAAGTCAATAAAGTTATTGGTGAAGATGAAAAATATGTCTTACTTTATGGAAAAAACCACATAGCCTTTCTGGCCAACCCAGTATTTACCTACATGAGATGATGAACATTGCCTACTAATAAAACTTAGAATATTTGTAAGTAAAACCGTTATGCTCTACACCATAAAGTTATACAATGGTGTACTTCAATTCCCATAAAACTGGAAAAAATATATTTAGCATTTTTCAAAAAAGAATTCCGGCTTCGAGTCATTGCTTGATTCTTCAGCCATGTTTCAGCTCATGCCTTTCTGCTGCTGAACCAGGCTAGTGCGGGGCTTTCAGGGTTTGGCCTGGAGGCCTGATGGGACGCTCAGACCCTGGGGCTGTATTTCTGTATTTGAAAGAGTTGTGGGCTTGTTAGTGGGATTACCCATAATTGTCATTTCTTCTTTCCTCTACCACCTGCCACAGCATGGCTCTCCTAGAGAAGTATTTTTTCCTTGTTCAAACTTTTGTCTTAAAAATATTGATTGACTGAAGAATCAGTTTTTCTTAAATAATGTGGTTGTTAAAACTAGTGAGGACATCCTATCCGTTGTGAGCCTTGTCCCATTATTCCCCTTCCACTCTTCTGGAAAGGCCTCTGACACTTTAATTGTAGCATATGGTTGGGGAATAAAATTCTGTCTTTTCCTTGCTAAATTTATTGTGAACTATGAATTCTGGACGTTGAGTAGTAGTCTGTTTTGCTTTGTTTTGAGTCTTCTAATAGTGCATTTTCAAGCATCTTAGTTTGACTGTTGGTAGAATATATGTATTTTCTGTTGAATTTCTTACTCTTTTCCTCTTTTAAATATGAGGGTAGAAGTATCAGTGCTAGGTTTTTTTCTTCCTTTTACCCCAAAGAAAACTGCCAAATTTGGGGAATTTGTGGTTAATTACCTATTGTTTTGTTCAAAACAGTACTCAGGTTTTGGCCAGGTGTGGGATGGGGGCCTTTTTGCAGTCCTGTCTCCAGACTGGCCTATTAAGAGCCTTGGATGCAACAATGAAAACTGTGCTCACATAGCAGTTTTGTTTTTTTTTTTAAAGGTTTTTAGTCCAAGCTCAACCTAATGAATCTTGGCTCCTGTTACCAACAAAGGAGTTCTGCTTTCCTCTCTCTGCTCACACTGTTCCAGATGTATCGGCACAGAGGTCGTGCCCTGTCCTGTGCTGGATCAGAATTGGTCTGTGGGTTTAAAATGCTGATATTTTCCTTTCTGTGAGTTTGCTGCAGAGACTGGAGATCTGAGCCCTGAGTTGGTGGTCAAAGTGGATTTCTAAAGCAAAACAATTGATGGAAAAGAATTCTGATGTTACCTATGCAAACTGGACCTTTTTAAATGGCATCCCAGAAAAGAGGCATGTTGTTCAGCTAAATAATGAGTCTGTATTTTTACATTGAAATATCTTTTGTCCCATAGTTTGAAGTAGCTACCAATTTGAATATAGAAAATGCTTCTTCTAGCTTGTAAGGTATACAAAGTGTGCTTCCTAAGAAATTTTGTTGGTGCTGCCCTGACTGGTTTTTAACTTCCCCTCTTCTCTAGTCCATTGCACAAAATTGGCAATGAAACAACCAGTGATTTTATTAAGAAGTAATGAAATAAATAATGAGCTTATTGATGCTGGAGTTTATCATAGACATGCTGCCATTTGAATACAGAATATAGCTTATGAAGGAAGGAGCAAGTCTATACCACCAATTAGTAGTAAGTTGTTTCTTTTTTGTGTCTATAGATGGCTCTTCAGACTTCTCTCCGACTTTGAGATACTGAATAAATAACAGCTCATAATTTTGTTCCAGTAACCCAGTTACATAATTCCTTTGAAGTTGTGTACAAGATGGTGGGGATGGTGTTAGGGGATCGTAATTACTGAACTAATATTTATATCAAGGAAATTCCCTAAGTATCTTAAAGCAACATTTCTCAAACTTAGTTGAGGATATGCACTACTTGGAGACTGTGCTAAAATTCAAATTCTGATTCAGTAGGCTTCAGTTAGGACCTGAGATTCTGCATTTCTAATAAGCTCATGGGAGAGTCTAATGCCTTCTGGTCTGTGAAGCAAAGATGAGTAGGAAGGCCTTTGAGAATACTTACTATACAGGGTCTGGCACAAATAATGCCCCTTTTTATTACAAAAATCTTTTATTACAAGATCATAAGCATATAATTCTGAAACATAGCAATATCACACTCAAACACACTATATGACATTTTAGGTGAAATATTCAAAATTAAAACTATAAATTATTACCCCTATATTATTACCCTACCAACCACACACAACCAGGTGTTACTTCTGCCAGACCCTGTATATCTAATGCTTACTAGAGTTTTTAGCCTCTCAGCAGGAATCAGCAAATTCTAGTCTCTTGAAAGTAGTAACAAATCCTGGGAACTCTTAGGGAAAGGCTGTTAGTTATGCAGCCTTAATGGCATTGGAGGGAATAAGGTGCAGAATGCTCCTCTGATGGCAGTAGCCCAGTGACCTCCAGCATGGCCCATTGGGAAGGGAAAAACAGCATTGAAGGGGCTTTCCAGAAATTACTAGGAGGGTTGGGGGGAACACAAGTGATTCTCAAGGTGAGGTCCCCAAACATGTTAGAATAGCAAATGCTCACGTCCATCCCAGACCTACTGAATTTGATACTCTGGAAATGGAGCCCAGCAATCTGTGTTTTAACAAGCCCTCCAGGTGATTCTGTTGCACATTCAAGTTTGAGATTGTATAAATGGCAGGCTGGGTATTAGAACATGGATATATTTGATTCCAGTGCTTATGCCTGTAGATGAAATGACTAATATATTTTATTAGAGAGAAATAATAATTAAGAGTGTAAAACAATGATTGTTCTTAAATGGGAAAAATACCTTTCACTTTAATCATCTGAGTATTTATTATGCATATTAGGTTATTCTATTGAGCTAAGAAAAAATGTTTTTCTTTAACATCTTTTCTACGTCGTTTCCTGCAACCAGAAAGGCTGAGAATTTAGATGACGCTACTTACACAACTGCTTCAGCTCTAAAGTCACGGGAAGGTGGCATTATTCTGTTTCTTGTGCTTGGTGTATGCATCGTAGTAACATTGAAGAGACCCCCTCCATCAGTTCTGTGACATCACTCTTGGGAGCCGACGTCTGTGCCCTTTGGAGCTCCCTTACACTGACTGCTCACTAGTATATGCTTTTCAGAGTTTTCATTAGGCAGGTTTCAGTGAGTTTTATTGGCAGATGGAAAAGTAAAATATGCCTCTGGCTGGTAGGGAGTAAGAGAATTGGTAACTATGTTTCTCCTGTATCATTGTCCTTCCTTAAAACCATCAAGTTTGTCATCTGGTAGAGTTTGCTTGGGGCAGTTCTATCTTCAGGATGTAGACCATTAGTAAATCTTGGGTTAATTAGCAGTCCTTCAAAACTAAGAACAGAACGATTGAGTAACTAATTCCCAATTCACTTAGAATGTGCGGAGAGTGGGTGAAGTCAGGATAGAGGTAGTCAAGAGAGTCCCTGGCGGTGAGCCTGGCTAGATAGGATTGAAACTGGCAAATAGAGAAGAGATTAAGACCAGGAGCAGTGGAAATAGGCAGGCACCGATCAGAGCTCAGGAAATTAGCTAGCATAGACCAGGACCCAAAATGCAGGATTTGGGCAGTCAAATAATAAAGGCCCCTTTAAAGGTATGGGACATGGGAGTGAGGGGATAAGGGTGAATGTTGATTCTGAGCCCCAGCGAGGGGCTGTGTGAGCTCACGGTACCACGCACTCCCCACCTGAGGCTGATCTCATCTCCCAGTGGGAGAAAGCTTTGGTAGTAGATGAGCACACCTTCCCTGATCAGAGGGTTGAGGGGATCTGGGTGAACAGGAACAGTATTCTAAATGATTCAACCCATGCATGTTCCATTTTTTCCTTATTTTACCAGTGACTGAAAAAGTGTACGAGAGTGAATCCTGCACAGATAGTGAAGAGGAACTTAAGATGAAGACGTCTCCCTTACACAGACCCCCAGCAGTGACTGTCAAAAGAGAGCCCAAAGAGGAACGAAAAGGCCCAAAGAAAGGGACTGCTGCTCTAGGCAAAGCCAACAGACAAGTGTCCATCACTGGCTTCTTCCAGAAGAAATGAACCGCCATCTCTGTTAGGTCAGAGATGTGGAGCGGCCAGGGAGGAGACCAAGACATACAGACTCTCACTTACTGTGTAAGTTCATCCGGCGCCTCACCTCACCTATATCAGAAGACTGTTCTTCCATCTCTTAAGGTTTATACTACTGGTTTTTAGCCAAAAAGAAATCACCCGGAAGGAAGAGGCAAAAGAATATTTAAAAAGCTGTTACTTTCTAATGACATTTTTAAAGCACAATCTTTGACCTGTCCAGCAGAATTTACTCAAAAAAAATTGGAACAGGTTTCAGAATTATTACTAAAGCCGTTTAGTGACTAAATGGCTTCCGTGATAATGCACCCTACCTGCCCTGTGTCCTGATCTGCACGTGGCTCAGGGAGTATTCTTCCTTGTTCCTTTGTATTCCGTGGACTTGTGTGGGTATTCCTCTATCCCTCAATGTTATTGGATGTGTTTGCCACTCCCCTGCTCATCCCTTCCCCCCTAACACAGTTCTTTGTGAAGCCATTTTCTGTTAAATCTTTTAAATCTTGGGTGAACTACAGGCTGAAACAAAAATCTCCCTCTAACCATCTTTTCCTCCATTATAAAGTACACTGACCTGGCTCTGTACCAGCACTTGTGTTCCGTACTTGTGTTCTACCCCTTCCGCAAAAACTCTCTAGACCATCACTCGTAATTAGTGGTTAGGGAAACCTCAGGCGGAGCACAAACAGAAATGTAGTGATGTATTCAACTCCACCAAAAATGACTGAGTCAACATCGACAGCATTGGAGAACATGTTGCGGACACGGGGCGTACTGTATAGTGCCCTTTGTGATTTTTGTCTCCTCCCCCCTCTCCCTTTTCCACTTTCGATACCTAGAGAGGGAAACCCATACAATTAAATGAAGGCTAAAAAGAGAAATCTTTTCCTACATGCAGTATGTAACAGTTAAGTAAAATTTCTTAAGAAAACTGAGCATTCAGAAACAACAGTTTTCCAGGAAGTTCATGAGGAAGAGATGAAAGCACACATACACAATACAGGTGTTGCTACAATGTATTTTTAACCCTCCCATTTGCCTAAAAGTACGGGTTCCCCAAGAAGAGATGGGGAGACTGAGTTGTTAATACGTCTAAACTGCTATGAAATAAATATTTTCATTTGTTCCTTAAGGAAAATCATGTACTCCAGTGATAACTTTGAAGCAGCTTCCATTGGGGCTGGACAGTGGGCTCAGTGGATGGAGGTGGGTGGCAGTGATCTGCTCAGCGGGCTCTGGGGACGGGAACACAGGCCTGGCTGCCGGTGTGATCCACTGCAGACAGACAAGGGGTGTCGGACTTCTTTCCACCTTAGCCTGGTGTATGTCCTTAGCGACACAGCCAGCCATCTGCTGTTAAAGTGAGTATTGTGACGGCCCTTGGATGAAGAGCAGCTTCCTGAGCAGCTGTCACCTCAGGCTTTCTAGCCAGGCACCCCATGGACTTGATTAAGCCCAGAGGTTTGGCATTACTTCTCGGACTTGTAAAGGCAGAGGCTTTGTGTAGCAAGCCGAGTAAAGGTTGACATGTTCCAACCCCCTTTCCTTTTTAAATCTAAAAGGATGGAGAAAAATCTAAAAGCCTCAACTTAAACTTTTACAAAAGTTTCTGGAGAGGAACCCCTTTTAAATGGTTATTTTTGCCATTGCCTCTAGTCTTTTTTTAAAAAAAAATACAAATGAAAAATTAAAAAATCAACTGAGTCCTTTTTTTAAAAAATTATGCTGCAATCTAGTAAACTAAATTTTGAATTGGAAACCTCTGGTGCTGGTTGAAAGGATAATGCAAATCTGGTGACAGTGATCCTGTGCTCACTATGCCCAGTATGCTGCCTAAACTCTGAGCTGTTTGCAAGATTTAGTTAATAAGTGGTGGCTTTTTCCCCCCCTTTTTATATAAAACTACCATGTTATCCCATGAGTTAAATAAATTTGAGAAGTTGTTTTAAAATAGTTCTTCAAACTGAATGTCTGATGAGTCTGTTACGTGACAGGATGGCAACAGTGTTCAGTTATTTAAACTGAACAGGAACAAGGCTGGTTTTTAGTTTATATTGTTAAAATTGCATACCCATAGTCTGAGATAGACAAGTTATTTGCTGCCTTCATCATTTTTTCAGCCCTGTGGGAAATCTTAGTTCCAGCCAAACTCATTTTTTAGTTCATTTAGAAGAAAATCTAGTCCTGATCTTGCACATTGTATTAGTTTGGCTTCATTACTTGCTAGCTGTGTGACCTTGGGCAAATTCCTTAGCCCCAGGTTCTTTACCAGAAAAGAGCTAAAAAGAGTTACCATGGATTGTCAAGACGGAAGTAATGTGTTTGTAGCATAAATTTAGTACACAGTGGCAGCACATAGGTGCTCTAGAAACAGTGGCTTCCTTCCTGATGTCATAAATGATGCATTTAGCTACCAACTTCCTGAAATGTTATCAAGAATATGACCCAGATGTTATACTCTTTCAAAGTCATCATTCTGGTTATAAATGTGGTCAGAGGGGGCCGACAGTTGTCCAATTTTAGAAAGGTTTTAGATTAGATAATTTCCTATTGAAAGAAAGTGAGATTTATGGAGGGCTACATTTACTATTCATTAAAACATTTATTGTGTCTACTATGTGTCAGTACTCCGACCCAGCAACTAGAGAATATGACAGAATCCTAGAATTTGTCCCTGTCCTCAGGACCTAGTGGAAAAGACAAGCCGGTAAAATAAAAGTATAACATCATCATAGGTGCAGTGACAAATAAGCACAGGGTCCTCTGAGAGCTCATTCCAGAGTTGGGATGGAGGAAGTCTTCCTGGAGGAGAGGAAGTCAAGCAGTTTTTTTTTTTTTTTAAAGATGAGTAGGATTTTACCAAGCAAAGAGGGACTGAAAGGATTTTCCAGGCAAAGGAGCATGGCTTTGGCAGGAAGGGAGGTAGGGGATGAGAATGGACTATTGAATTTAGGAAGAGGGAAGAAAACCTATTGAGAAGTGAAGTCGGGTTCCTGCTAACGAGTTTGGATATTATTCGACGACTGTGAGGTCCAAATGAAGAATTTTAAGAAGAGGAGTAACAAGTTGATTCTCATGTAAGAGTGACATCTGGGACTAAGGTACAAGATGGTGGAGGTGTAGGAGGACGCTGAACTTGCTCCCTCTCCTAAGCACACTGAATTGTACACCTATACATAGAGCAATTCCTCTTGAGAGACAACTGAAAGCTGATCGATTACCTTCTGCGCAACACATGAAGAAAGAGACCAAATAGAGAAGGCTAGGCAACTGCGGGAGCTCTCCGGGACTGAAGGAACTGGTGAATGCCATTGTTCGCGTCTTCCTCCACCTTGGTAGGGTGAGCAGGAGCTCTATCCAGGTGCTCCGGCCTGCCTGCAAGGTAGCTGTGACATTCCCAGTGACACTGCTCAGAGCCCATTTTGGCCCCAAAAAAGGGAGCAAGTAAGATCGACAAGGTGTTACCACATGCATCTGGCCTCCCCACCCAGAGCTGCTCTGGCTGGACAAGCCAGCACCCCAGGCACAGTAAGCACCTGCCTGGCCCCAACCAGCCTGCCGTAAGTACCTGGCACACAGCCCACACAGATGTTGCTTCTCAAGATCACTTTCTTCACAACATGGAGAGGTATAGAGAAGACTGGAAGATGCAGGAGCTCTCCAGGGACTGCGGGAATGCACGTTCTGGTGTTGGTGAGCACCATTGTTTACATTTTCTTCTACTTCAGTAGAGTCAGTTTCTTCTACTTCAGTAGAGTGAGCAGGAGCTGTCTCCAGGTACTCTGACCCTGCAAGACCACCACAGTGCATTCCCAGCCACATCATCCAGAACCCATTTTGTCTCTGAACAAAGGGAACAAACAGGATCAATAGGGCGTTATTATATCACCAGCCCTTCCCACCTGGGGCCGCTCCAGCCCAGCAGGCAAGTGCACCAGATGCCATAGGTGCTCACTTGGCTCCAATGGGCCTGCCCAAACTACTGGCATATATAGTCTATACAGAGGTTGCTGCTACACAAAGCCAGTTTTTTTCAAGACTGGGAAAGATGGCCATTTTGTTTGATTCATACAAATAAACATAGAAAGTCAAACAAAATTAAAAGATAGAAGAATATTTCTCAAGTGAGAAAACAGGAAAAATCCCTGGGGCGTGGGCAAGGGGGAAGCCCTAGTGAAATGGAAATAAGTAAGTTGCTTGATGAAAACTTAAAGGAAATAATCATGAGGATGCTCACCAAACCTGGGAGTAGACTAGAGGAATTTAGGGAGAACTTCAACAAAGAGTATCATAAAGAGCTGTTCAGACCTGAAGAATAAAATGACTGAAATGAAAAATATTCTGGAAGGAATCAACAGCAGATTAGCTAATACAGATGAATGGATCAGTGACCTGAAAGACTTGTAAATCAATGAAAACAGCAAAAATAATTTTTTTTTCAAAAAATGATAGTTTAAGGAAACTCTGGGACAGTATCAAGCACACACACTGGCCAATATTCTGGATGAACATACATATATAAATTCTCAACAAAATAATTAGCAAACTGAATTTAACTACATTAAAAGGATTATACACTGTAAGTGGAATTTATTCCAGGGACACAGGATGGTTCAACATCTGAAGTAAATCAACTAACATAATACATCAAATCAGTAAACTCAAGGATAGAAGTCAAATAGTCATCTTGATAGAAAAAGTATGTGACATAATTCAACATCCTTTTATGATTAAAAAAAACTTGCAACAAAGTAGGTACAGAAGGAACATCTCAACAGAATAAACGCTGTATATGACAAATGCAGCTACTAACATGTTCAATGCTGAAAAACTAAAATCTCTAAAATCAGGAATAGGCCAAGGATGTCCAGTATCACCATTTTTTAAAAATACTTACTTTTTAGACAGAGGGGAAGGGAGGGAGAAAGAGGGAAAGAAACATCAATGTGTGGTTGCCTCTCGCACACACCCTACTCGCGACCTGGCCCACAACCCAGGCATATGTCCTGACTGGGAATTGAACCAGCAACCCTTTGGTTCACCGGCCAGCGCTCAATCCACTGAGCCACATCAGCTAGAGTGCCTACTTCTAATCAACACAGTGTTGGGAGTGATAGCCATAGAAATCAGATCAATAGAAAAAAGACATCCAAACTGGAAAGAAAAGTAAAACTATTTGCACATGACATGATTTATATATAGAACACACTCCACCAAAAAACTATTAGAATAAATAAATTCAGTAAAGTACCAGAATACAAAATTAATATTCAGAAATCAGTTGCATTTTTTGTCACTACAGTTGTCCCAATCGTTCCCCTTTTCCCACACTCCAACAAGCACCCCCTTCACTCCTGCAATCCCCCCTCTGTTCATACCCATGGGTTATGCACATAAGTTCTTTGGCAACTCCATTTCCTGCACTTACTCTTAACATCCCCTTGCCTATTCTGTACATTTGTACTTAATCTCTTCACTTTTTCCCAATCCCTCCAGAGCTCCCTCCCCACTGGCCACCATCCCAATGTTCTCCATATCTATGATTTTGTTTCTATTCTGCTTGTTTGCCTAGTTTGTTTTTTAGGTTCAATTGTTGATAGTTATGAATTTATTGCCATTTTAATGTTCATAATTTTGATTTTTTTCTTAAATAAGCCCCTTTAACATTTCATATAATAATGGTTTGGTGATGATACACACCTTTAGTATTTCCTTGTTTGGAAAGCACTTTATCTTCCCTTCAATTCTAAATGATAGCTTTGCTGGGTATAGTTACCTAGGTTGTAGGTCTTACTTTTCATCACTTTGAATACTTCTTGCCAGTCCCTTCTAGCCTGCAAAGTTTCTTTGAGAAATCAGCTGACACTCTTATGGGTACTCCTCTGTAGGTAACTAACTGCTTTTCTCTT